GGTCCCCCAATAAAAAGTGGCCCCCAAAGGCTAATGCAGCTTCTGGAAAAACATTTGCTGTTTCTAGGCAGTGGCAAAGTCTACCTCACTTTTCAGCAGATTGAGTAGGATGGCTCCACACGCTCTAGAATAAAAATGAACGTGACATGCACAATCACTTCAGTTTATTCTTCCCATCAGACAGACAAAAACAAAAACAAACAAAAAAACCCCCCAAAATTTTAGAGGTAGAATTAAGAAAAATAGAAACTTAAAAGTTTAAATATGTACTAGCCTTTTTTCTAATGGATATTTAACCCGTATATCTTTTCTTTTAAGCTGAACCATAATTTCCAAGGGTTCCAAATAAAGATTGTAACAAATAGTAAGTGGTTTTGAAATCTAGTGTGTGTGTGTCTCATAGAATCCAGGTGAAACCCAGGGACATCAGAACTCGTTCCTCTTGTAATTTAAAGTTTGTAACCTTTAACCAACATTTCCCCATTTCCCCCAAGGGATTAAAGATATTTAAATCTTTTATAACATTTATGTTTAGGCATTTTAAAACCTTAAACTTCTTAAAAATGATTCTGCTAAATAAGGGAATTATCCCTTAGAAAAAAACAAAAACCAGCCAGACACGGTGGCTCATGCCTGTAATCCTAGCACTTTGGGAGGCCGAGGTAGGCAGATCACCTGAGGTCATGAGTTCGAGACCAGCCTGACCAATATGGAGAAACCCCATCTCTACTAAAAATACAAAATTAGCCAGGCATGGTGGTACATGCCTGTAATCCCAGCTACTCAGGAGGCTGAGGGAGGAGAATCACTTGAACCCGGGAGGCGGAGGTTGCGGTGAGCCGAGATTGCGCCATTGCACTCCAGCCTGGGCAACAGGAGTGAAACTCCGTCTCAAAAAACAAAAAATAAACAAGAAAACAAACAAAAAAACCAACAAAAAACAAAACCAAAAACCAACAAACAGTGCCGGTTTTGGTAGGCAGAAGTCTAAGATGGCCTCAGAGAACCCACCTACCCCCGTCCTGGGGTACATGGTGTAATCCCCCCTGAAGGTGAATGGGATTTGTGAATGTGATGGGAATTCCCATGGCTAGGTTACTAACCCGCTGACTTTTAGTTATCTCCTGGGTGAGAACCTGACCAAATCATGTGAGCCTTTAACAAGGGATTGCCCTTCCTGAGGTCAGGAAGCAGGTGAAGATGTAGCTATCATGTGAAAGGGCCGAGGAGCTAGGACCTGACTCAAGAGAAGCTGTCAAGAAGGTGGGGATGGGCCAGGCGTGGTGGCTCATGCCTGTAATCCCAGCACTTTGGGAGGCTGAGGCAGGTGGATTATCTGAGGTCAGGAGTTCAATACTAGCCTGTCAACATGGTGAAACCCCGTCTCTACTAAAAATACAAAAATTAGCTGGGCACGGTGTTGCACGCCTGTAATCCCAGCTACTCGGGAGGCTGAGGCAGGAGAATTGCTTGAACCTGGGAGGCAGAAGTTGCGGTAAGCCAAGATTGTTCCACTGCACTCCAGCCTGGGCGACAGCCGACTCCATCTCAGAAAAAAAAAAAAAAAAAAAGCGGGGACAGCCAGCAAGAAACAGGGAACTTCTGTCCCACAGTTAGCAAGAAAATGAGACCAGTTCTACAACTGCATGGGACTGAATTCTGCCAAGAACCTCACGAGCTCCCCAGCCTCAGATGAAACCACAGCCTAGCTGACAGCTTGATTCCAGCCTTGTGAGAAGCTGAGCAGAAAACCTGGCCAGGCCATACCCGGGGGTTTTGATCTATGCAATGAGAAGTAATAAATGGGGGTGATTTTAAGCCGCTAAGGGTATGGTCATGTGCTGTAGAGCAATAGAACACTGATATCCCAATGTTCTTCCAAATACTGGAAACCAGTGGTGCCAGCACATTCTGGGCTTCCAAGTCCAGATGGCAGAGGGCTGCATTCTGCCCCTTTCTTCTCCTGAAAATCAATCAAACAATAAATGTTTAAGTAAATAAAACATTATTTTAAAAAAGGAAAATGAATCTGAAACAGGACATGGGGGAAAACGTTAAAAAGCAATTCCATTTTCAATGCTTTTAAGAGGCGTTGTTAACTGTAAACCACGCTACAGCAGATTAGCAAAGGACTGGGCAGCAGAGCCTGAGGCCACGGCAACAGGCCCCTTTGTGACACACGGAAGGTAGTGAAGAATGGGGCGAGTGGCAGCGATGCTGTCTGAACTGTGTTCAAGCTGTCAGAATGCAGATTCTCAGCTTTATCCAGAGCCACCTCGATGATAAAATAGACAAGGAGAAAGAAGCAGGAATGTTCTCGCAAGCCAGAACTAGAGGACTAAGGGAATGACAAATCCCCAGTCCCCTTATCTGGCCAACTTCAAAATAAGAGCAATGATATTTTCCAGGCTGGAAACAGAAGGTCCTTCCTCGGGAGAAACTGAAACTCTTCAAAGACAAGACAAAGAATCTGACAAAGCAAGCTGGCCCACAATGCCACAGAGAAGTCCGGGAGCTAAGTAAGGAGCATACCCGCGGCTTTCGGTCAGCTTGAGTGCCTCATCAGGCTGAAGTCAAGCCAGAGGAGAGCCTGCAAGGTGAAAACAGAGCAAGGCCTCCTGAAAGGAATGTTTAGAAGCAGCCCAGGAGAAAACCAGGCAAAATGGAAGGATTTATTCTAAAATACAGTTAGCAAAAATGAGATACTAGGGAGCTCCGACACAGGAATAATAATATAGCAAAAGGACAATCAGGACCAGACCAGTCTCTTAAACATTAAAAATGACACCAGAAGGAACTGAAGACAAAAGTAGAATGAACCCCAGAAGGGGAACAAAACAAAGAGGGACAATAGGAATTCAATAAAAAAATGAGAGAATTTAGCAAGTCAAGCAACCTAGAGTTACGAGTCTTGACAACAGAACTGAGATCACCTCCTTTGAGAATTAAAAAAAGAACTGAGAAAGCAGAGGGAAAGAAATGATCAAAGAAATAACACAAGAAAAGTCCCCACAAGATGGGTTTTCATGGTAAAACTGAGTCGCAACCCCTGGAAAAGGCCCACGCTGAGCTACATCACCAGGACATCTCACAATGTTGTAGAGAAGTAGCACGTCCCCAAAAGAGTATCTCCAAAGATTTGTGAGAGTAATATTAGGCCACGAATAATCAACTGGGAATAGGAATGACACTGAACTTTTCAATGTTAACATTTGAAGCCGGAAGACAGTGGGTTCCATGACTTCAAGATTCTGAATGTAATTTACCAAACAGAAATTGACACCCTAGCTATCAAGAGTAGAATAAAGACACTTTCAGAAAGACTGTCACAAAAAATTACTTCCCATGCAACTCTTTCTCAGACAATAATGGGATATGCTCTATCAAAACAAGAGTTAGGCCAAGAGAAAATTATAGAGTCCCTGGTAAGGAGAATATTCTGGAACAACTATAGATGCCAAAGAGAACAAAAAAATGGAGTCTGGGCCACGGAGCTGAGGGGCTCCCTGAGGAGAATGTCCAAGGGGAAAAAAGGAGCGGACAGACTTCCCGCTTTGACCATATACATGAGAGGCTGCACTTGTGTTTTTCTTGGGCGCTTTCACACTCCTCCCTTTACAGCAGTAGCTAATCTCTCTGCTTGGAACACTCCCCAGAGAAACATACGGTATTCTTCCTCATCAACTTCAGGGTTGGACTCAAATGCCGCTCGCCACTGAGGCCTCCTGTCTTCTCAGAATGTCCCTTCCCATCGCAACCCCTTCCCTGTCCCTTCCCATCACAATGTCACATATTCCTTCCTCAGTCTCTCTTCTCAGCACTCACTACTCTAAACACTACCATGTATTTCCCGATCATCTCCTCTACCACCTGTCCCCACCACATGTAAACTCCAAGATGGCAGAAGTTTTTTGTCTGTCTGTTCAGGCAAAATAATATAGTACTGTTGAGGGAAAAAGTTTTCTGAATACATGAATAGTCACAAGTTTAAAAAATGAGTAAAATAAAAAGACAATTGTTAAAAAAACGTTGCTAAGTAAATGAAAATAAACTGCTTGGCACAGTGTACTGCTTGGCACAGCAGTGAATACTTACATAATCAAAATAATGGAAACACTGTATGTGGATTAATTACAACTAATGTAGGAAAACAAGATCAATGGAGGTCTATTAGGTTACATGGTCTTCCTCCAACATCATAGGGAGTCACTAGGCAATTTCTAAATTTAGTGACTCAAGAAAGAATAATATACACATTTGAAAATAGGAAAGGAAGAATGAGAAAAACAGCTTAAGGAGTTATAAGTGGGTACAGCAGGTTGCATGGGACTGCTGTTTTATTGTATATATTTTAGCTCTCTTTGATGTTTTTAAACTATGTATTTACATTATTTGATAAAAATAAAGGCATTTACTTAAAGGGAAAACATGTTTCTCCGAAGTTCTAAGAAAGCTTAATTCTTTGTCATTCATATCATAGTGGCACATAGTGAGTACTCAAGAAATATGTTGGAAGTAGGGATGGATTTTGACTGTATAAAAATATACAAAAAATAGCTTCTGGATCTCACATTAAATCATAGAGTACTGTGTAAGTTGACAACAGAAAGGCATGCTTCATAGAGACTGTTTTTGATACAAAACATTGACAAAGGTGAAAAACATGTAAGCATTAAAATTACAACCAATAAATTCATACTAATTAAAAATATAAAATTTTCTTGGTTTTGTTTAAAAATAGTAAAAAGTTACGCTTTTTACTTTTGTGGCTATAGTTTTGAGCCTTATCAAGTAGCTCTATACCGCCACCTGGTGGCCAGCTCCGCGTGGACAGCCTGGCTTTTGGTCAGGGTAGAGAGGATGTTCACCTTTACGCCTCGTCCACCACAAGCAAACACATCAATATCCAACCTTCCATTCATCCATTCTTCTCTCTCAACTCAGCCACGGAATCCTGAACAGGAGGATCAGTGGGAAGGAAACAGAGGCAGTAAAGCTCATGGATTTTATTAATAATTTATTGTCAGTAAGAAAGACTGGCTAATGGTAGTTTTCATTAAAAACCTTTACAAGACCATTGCATCACAAATATACAGACACTATAAAAACTGTGTCATGGTGGATTTGGCTCTAAACAGGTATGCAGAAGGTCCCCGTTACACTTTCCAATAATGAAAAATGTTTATAATTCTAAATACAGCAACCCATGTAAGACATGTTCATGTATCATATCACTCCCTCATCCTATGTACAGCTAGAAATGCACTGAAATGGACCAACAAAATGTCATACTTCAGTGGGAAAAGGGAAAAGACAGAGTGAAACCCTGGTTATAGTAAAAAAAAAAAAAAAAAATCAGGGTGCTAGATAATGGCACTAACACCACCAAAATTCAGTTGAAACAAATGCACAAAATATCTTGGAAATCTAGTTAAAACTATGAAAAATCAAATCTGTACATAAAATTTACAAAAAAAGAGAGACAGGAAAATTAAAATAATCAAATCTATATAAATACATGAATCATGCTGACGACAGAGGACAGGACTCATTTTCGTTTCACTATTTTAACACAGACAGATGTAAATCCCAAAAGATGTTGGGAAATGGCACAGCCGATGGAAACCTCACGATGACAGTAGTCGGGACACTGGAAATGGCCAGCACGTCCAGAGGCGCGGGACCCAGCGCAGCCATGGCCATTCAGCTCACCGAAAAAAGCCTGGGAGCACTGCTGCAGGAGCAAGGCGGATGCTCCTATCATCTCTAGGTTCACTAAAATCAGGCACTTCGGGGGGAGTTGAGAGTCAGACTTCCGTGTGCTGCTGGGAATCCAGAGGCGGGATCGTCACCTCTTCAAAGTGGCCGTCGTCCCCGCTCTCATAGTCACTCATCATCACCTCGGACTCCACTTCGCAGCAGGCTGACACGTCGGAGCAGGAGGCCGTGGAGGCGTACACGGACATGGGCACGCTCTCGACAGTGGGCACCTCCAAGTGTCTTTGATACCCTGGCGGGTAAGGGGCATGGGATTCTCTACAAGTACTATTCTCACCAGTGCCTTTTGTTTGAGGTTCAGACATATCGAGGGGATAAAAATTGGGCAAATACTGATTCAAGGTGAACCTCTGCCGGTTTCTTGATGAAGAACCCAAGCTACCCGCGGCAGGCATGTCTCTAGGAGGGTGGATGGACTCAAACTGATCGCCGAATTCGGGCGGTAACGGTGGCAGCTCGTCGGCGGCGGGGAAGTCTTCGGGGGGTGGAGGAAAATCACTTTCGATGTCGTAGCCCCCAGGGTAATAGTCCGTATCGATGGCGTTCGGATCTCCCGAGTACAGGGGTGTCTGCTCATCAATCACCTCATAGTTGGGGAACTCCTGTATGTCCGGCAGAGGAACGCTTGGCATCCAATCTGATGTATCCCAGTGATACCCTTGGTAGACAAGAAATGAGATGTCAGTGTGTTTTCTCCTGAGCTTTTGTGCCATGGAAAGAGCTCAGTGTATCAAAGACACAACTGCATTTCTGCCTTCATTCAAAGTTCGCCAGTGGAAATTCCTCGTCTTCGCTTGGAAGACATCCCCCAACCACTCCAGTTTAAAGACCCTATGACCTAGGCTCGATTTCTAAAATGTGGACTTACAGTTTTATGTACACAACTTAACATTCACGGAAACAAAAGGAGTCCTAAGAGAAATGGGATGCTAGCATCTAAATTATATACATGTTTCCACAAATGATTCTAACCAGCCTTTTAACTTTTCTTCTGTAATGTAGAACCCATTGCTCTATAGGAAGAGAAGTATTGATTCAGTCTTAGGACATTAGCGAACTACCCAGTGTCACTTGATCTGCACTACTACTCACTAAAAAAATACTGATCAATGCAACTTAAAAAAACTTTCATTTCTAGTTTTTGTAGAGACACGGTCTCACTATGTTGCCCAGGCTGGTCTTAAACTCCCGGCCACAAGCAATCTTGCCAACTCAGCTTCCCAAAGTGCTGGGATTACAGGCCTGAGCCATCAGGCCCAGCCAATGCAACTTTTTAAAGGAATAAAAGTAATCTTTAACATGCTGAAGTTGAGAAAAGAAGCTACCTTCATAATAATGTAGCAAGTTTAATATTAAAATTACTATTTTTCATTAGCCCTCAGACAACAAATTAACTTAATATAGGTATATATCAAAGCATGCCCCCAATTCAAGCAAAATACAATTGAACAAGCATTGCAAGATTATAACACAGCCTCTGATACACTGTAACAATCTGTGTTACTTTCAAAAGGACTGTGATCCTTTTGGACTATATAAAGCATCACTATTAAAAAAAAAAAACTTCCAATTTTGGAATAGTTTTTTTTTTTTCTCCTTAGGATTTAAAAAAATCCTCGGAGAGGCGGGAGAAGGTTAGGCAATCCGTGCTTTGAATGCAAAGCGCACACACATGCGGCCGTGTACTTAGTTACTGCTGCAAACGCTGGGCGACCCAGTGCAGTCAGTTGGCACTGGGGCAAGGCTTGACCCACTGTTTTTAGTGAATATCAATGAATAACTGGCATGCATAAGTCACCTCTTGGTTTGCTGAGGTCAGGAGCAGCCAAAGATTCTTTTGGTGGCAGAGTAGAAAAAAAAGAAAACATTTGTAATTACAACAGACCGCTGAAAAGGCAATAAAGGTAAGTACACAGAACAATGAAAACTGCTTACAAAGGACCAATCAGCCATACAACACGTCCTTACGCCAGTATCTACGACAATTCCAAATGGCTGAGAAACGTATGTACCACAAATAAAATGGAATATGGAAGTGGAGGAAAAAGACCGAGGAATGATGAACCAGAGATTTGGCCAGAAAACTCAAATATTATTTTCTTTTCCTTGTTTCTGACAATCACTGCCTGAAAACACAGAATTTTCTTAGGAATAATTAAAACAATCAGGCTCTAATAAAATATAAACTGATCAGATTACATAGGTGATAATCCAAATACATCTACAGCTACATAATGCACACTTTATAGCACATTGCAACTTCAAAGGACATTAAATTCAGAGGAACTCATCGGCAAACTTAGATACTTAAAGACAGGTCTACAAGCTGAAGATCTCTCCAAACTGTATGTAGTTTGAATATGATTTAATATTTACACTGTGAGCCATTCCCTAAAGAGACCACGGCTACACTTAACCCCCATGTCTGTAACTACACTTGCTCTGCCAGCGCCCCGCATCTATCCACAGAAGCCTAGCAGGAAGTATAACCAAATGCATGTAAATCCCACTATCAGTTAGGGCCATGAGACGCCTGCCCTGGCCCTGGCTAACCTTCAGGTTCTCTCTTTGAAATGGGGTGAAAATCCCTTAGAGTTGTTATGAGGATTAAACAGGATAATGCAGGTTAAGCACTGTTAGAAACTATCAATAACTGTAAAAGTAGACATCACGGTAGAAAAACGGTCACATCAGTGATTTTTTCAAACAAAGCTTTCTATGCATTCAACAGTGTTATAATTTGGGACAAATATTTGATAGTTCACTTCTGGAAATTTCAATAATTTTAAAAGACTGTGGTGTCTCTAAAAAATGAATAAGCCAGCATTTAGGTAACATGTATCTACAGAATCATTTTTAAGTCTAGTAACAAACGTACCAATTCCTTTAAACAAAAAAAGATCAACAACTTTTGTTACTTAGGCACTAGTAATAGCTTTCAAATTTAAATTCAAAGTAATACCTTTCAACTTTAAATTCAATGTACACTTCTTGGATATGCCAAAAAATATTTTTCAGTGAAGAAGACTGCAGTGAAGGAACTATTGAAATTCTGCTTCTATAAACTTCAGTAATATTTACAACACTGAAGGTCATCAGTTTAAAACTAAAACTTCACTAGACAAAATACAGATATGTTTCTGATTCACCAAGTAAAAACATGGTACTTCTTAGGAAAAGCAGCATAGGCGTCATCAGTAACTGTAACGATGAACACTGGAGCATCTAGCCTCTTCCGCCTGATATCAAACGGGGCACAGCGCTATCCTCCCGCCTCTTCCGCCTGATATCAAACGGGGCACAGCGCTATCCTCCCGCCTCCCTCCTCCTGACAGCGTCATGTCCGAGCATAAAGGATGCCCCGAGCTCTATGATGGCGACGTCTGTGTACTCGACAGCCTATGTAAGCAGTTCTCAAGTGGGATCTCTAGGCCGGTACCATCAGAGCTACCTGGGAACTGGTGAAAAATACAAATTCTCAAGTCCCAACCCAGACCTATTGGATCAGAAATGCTGGTGCTGAGAAGCAGCAATTGGGCTTTTAACAGTCCTCCAGATGTCACATTACAGTTTGAAAAGTACTAGCCTGTGCCTTCCCCATGTGATGAATTTCAGTGCACTAATAAAGGGCTATTTTAATTTAAAATAATTTGGGGAAGGTGGCCAATGTCCTTTCTTACAACTCTGAGCAGATAAAGCTTCACATTAAATAATTTTCACTAAACTAAATATGAAAATATGCTCTGACCATGCTCTACACCCTTTTCTTTGACCATACTCAGGGAAAAACCAAAAGTGAAGAGTCAGTTACAGTTTAATTATGAAAGCCTTATGTTATTCAAGTCTTACTCCTGTTCACATGAAGAGGGATTTTTGTTTCAAAACATTTTAGGTAAAATTACTTCTGAACTTTTTTTTATATTGCACCACCTACAGATAAGCTCTCAAGATCTCATGGTTACTTCTGATGTCTGTGTAAATCACTATGAATAGTAAAAAGCAACAAAGACATAACATACATCAAAATATTTTTTGCAAAGCACCCGTATTACTTATCTACACACCTGCATAAAATAAAAGGACTCAACCCCCTCAAAACCACAAACTGTGTTTTCCTACCATTGCAGTAGGCAATGCAGCCGCGCTCCGTGGCACAGCTGCCGCAAGACACAGACACAAGCACGAGCACTTACAACTGTACCTTCTGTGCTCACCGTGTCAACCACAGCATTGACAAGGTGCATTACAGTCACTAGGGAAGCTTGCAAAAAGGTACAAAAGCAGTCAATTAGGAACATCTTCAGTTAGTTAGAAAACAGTGCACGAAACAGAATTTCATATTATACCATTATACCTCAAATTCAAACTGAGGAGTGCTTTAACACAACCACGTAATGATGCGTGGTCTCCTCACTGTTAATTGTGTGTCTCAGAGACTTTTCTAATCAAGCTATATATTTGTTACTATTAATCAAAGGAATCATGCAAACATATTTTATTGCAATTTAGACAAAACATTTTAACTTTAAATTGTTTCACAATTACAATTATGGATCATGTCAGGCCAGAACGATGCTTATTTTAACATCTTACAGGCAAGCCTCGACATTCCAAGACTACGATCTGTGGCACGCCACTCTTCTGGCTGTGTAATCACTCACACATTGTCCCCCAAAAAAGGAAATCGAAGGAGAAACATATGCAATCTAAAACAAAAATGGTTTTGTCCCTGTTCTGATTGTTTTCCCTGCAAATTTGTCTGTTTGCAGATGGATGAATCGCTGGTGAGCTAACGTACCAGGAGAGGAGACTCTGCCTGTTTCCTGTGTAAATTCCCTTTTTGTTTGTGTATCAGATTGTTTTAAAATAACTATGCCAAGGTAAATATGTATGCATGTAGTAGGCAGAAGGCTGGCCCTCAAAACAGTGCACGTCCTAATCCCAGGAGCCTGTTGAATATGTCACTGTACATTGGCAAAAGGGACTTGATGCGGTGCAGGTAAGGAAATTGAGATGAGGGATTTCCCTGGATTATCTGGGTGGGCCCAATGTAATCATAAGGGCCACTTTTCAGCACAGAGACTTGCCCAGTTACGGCCGGGGGAGCTCTGCTGACAGAAGGGTGGTCAGTGAAACGCTGTGTTGCTGTCTCTGAGAGATGGAAGAGACCAAGAGCCAAACAATGTGGGCAGCCTCTAAAAACCAGGACAGGAAGGAAAACAGGTTCTTCCCTGGAGCTGCAGAAGGTAACACAGCTCTACTGATTGCACGATTTTAGCCCTGTGAGACACAGGGGTTGGACTTCTAAGCTATAGAACGACAGCAAGACAAGTCTACATTGTTTTAGGCCACAAAGTCTGTGGTAATCGGTAACAATGGCCCCGGAAAACTGAGAATACGATGCAGGAACAGACTCTCAGCAGACTTTCAGCTTACAACTGATAATTACATTACGGTAATGAGTAAAATAAAAATACTCCTGTATATATGTTTTTTCTCTGCATTGTATTTTTCTCTGCATTGCATGGAAGCTAGCTTTCCTAATTAATTTGACCATAACTTATTAAAAGCACTTGGGCCTTTTTGTTTGTTTTTTTGTTTGTTTTGTTTTTTTTGAGACAGAGTCTCGCTCTGTTGCCCAGGCTGGAGTGAGTGGCGCCATCTCGGCTCACTGCAAGCTCCACCTCCCGGGTTCACGCCATTCTCCTGCCTCAGCCTCCCGAGTAGCTGGGACTACAGGCGCCTGCCACCATGCCTGGCTAATTTTTTTTGTATTTTTAGTAGAGATGGGGTTTCACCGCGTTAGCCAGGATGGTCTCGGTCTCCTGACCTCATGATCCGCCTGCCTCGGCCTCCCAAAGAGCTGGGATTACAGGCGGAAGCCACCGCGCCTGGCCACTTGGGACTATTATTGAGAAGACTGATGTTTCAACAACAAGAACTAGAAAGACAATGCTGATAAAATTCTGAAATGTATTTATAAAGAGCATTTAGGGGCCAAGATATAAATTATTACATAAACTGGAAACAGGAACTTCTTAGAATTAAAACTGATAAAAGACATAATTCTATCTTGTTGGTTTAACAAGCAAAGCTATGTCCATACACTCTATTCCTAATAAACACAGGTATATTTTGATACCATATATATATATATATATACACACACACACACACACACTTGAAATCAGAAATGATAGCACACACTTATAGCTATCTTTAGTCATTTGAAAAACGACTCCTCAATAGATAATGAATATATGGATTTATGGACTATATATACAATGTATTATGGACTATATTACTCTCGATTGAATAATTATTAGTGGGTTACCTTTTTCCACCAATGAAATATTTGAAATGTATAATATACATATCAATATGTTTAATAACATATTAAACATATTACACGATTATACAATTAAAAATTATCATTCAACTTACTAATTCTGAGATTTGAAAATTTCCACTAAAAACTACACTGTATTACTATTTGAATACTGACAATTTTCTCTACTGGTATATATTAATATGGCAAAGCTGGTTATCAATGTGATTTACCCTGGGGAAATCAGATCAACATAACTGGTGGCAAAGATCCCACTGTCAAACTTTCTTCATTAGAAATATAATCCAACTTACTAGCAATCTCCTAAACTGTGCTCTGTCAGTACGCTCTGATCCACACGGGAGCTGGGGCCGCAGTGGGGTTGGGGAGGAGACAGATAAAACCTTGTAATACCAAAGGTGCTACGGAAATCGAACATTTCAGACTATCACATCTCTTCTTAGAGGGTGTGTGTGTGTGTGTGTGTGTGTGTTTGTGTGTGTGCTGCATGGTTAAGAAAGTTGTGAGGAGGATTTCTGAAAAACCCACAAAACTGGGGTAATATTTACTGTTGTGAGAAAAAGCCAATACAAGATTAGTCAATCAGATCCTTCAACAAACATGTTCTTTTCTCTTACTGACAAGTTCAAACACCTATTCATCAAGAACAGTTTAGCGATTTTCCCCAGCAGACATTCATGCAAGTATGTGTGGTGTTGTTTAAAAGTGGTCCAAGAAAAATGAAAACACAGTGAGGCTCTTACGGGTAGCTAGTGCGTCTACACTGTGAGAGAACACAGTAACACAACAAGCAAGCAAAGCACAGCGTTTCGGCACACTGCTGCCTCACCATTGTCATCGCACGACTCGGACTGGAAGGAGCTCAGGGACTGCACTTCAGACAGGCTTTCCCGGGCACTGTACGGCTGGGAAGGCTTTTCCTCTAGAGGCTTCTTGGAAAGACAGGGATCGAGATCCACCACTTTAGCTAAAAGGAAGGATGACAAACATTAAGTATATGGGCCAGGACGGTTTTGTTCACCGCTGAATCCTGAGACGCACCATGCACTACCCAACGACGGCCTGAGATTTACGGAATAAATGAACGACTGAAAGAAAAACAGAAACACCTTACAAACTCAAACGAAGACATAAAAACACCCCGCACAGAAAGACCTACGCATCATCTCAGAGATTATTCAGAGTAGAAATTGCCCATAAGCATGCCTATGGATATCATTAGACAATAAAGACTGCTAACATTTTCTTTTAAAATAATAGGTACAACTTTAAAAAAAAAAGCATCAAATATATGTTAGGTCACTAATATAAATATTTCCACTTCTCCAGGTCATATTTTTAAAAATCCTAGCATGAAGGCCGGGCACGGTGGCTCAAGCCTGTAATCCCAGCACTTTGGGAGTCCGAGGTGGGCGGATCACGAGGTTAGGAGGTTGAGACCATCCTGGCTAACACGGTGAAACCCTGTCTCTACTAAAAATACAAAAAATTAGCCAGGCGAGGTGGCGGGCGCCTGTAGTCCCAGCTGCTCGGGAGGCTGAGGCAGCAGAATGGCGTGAACCTGGGAGGTGGAGGTTGCAGTGAGCTGAGATCCGGCCACTGCACTCCAGCCTGGGCGACATAGCAAGACTCCGTCTCAAAAAAAAAAAAAAAAAAAAAACACATCCTAGAATGAAAATGCTCCCGATTATTTTTTTTTTACATATTAATAAACTCAAAAATTATAGATGAGAACCTTTATCAATTATAAAATGAAACAGCCTCTCCAGAATATTAACTAAAACATGACTAGATTCAATTTCTTAATTAAAATAACAACATAGCCACAATGCTCAGCCAGCACTCAGGACATCCAGAAAAGTTTCCAATCATTTTAAGGATTTCAGTCTGAGCATACTTGTCTCTAACAAACAGTACACACGTTCTGACTGGACAGAACTTGTAACCTGACTGTTTACCTCAAGTGACATTTGAGTGAGATGAGAAAATGGCACTTACTGTCATAGTCGAAGTCCCAGCTGGGCTTCTGTATGGAGTCGCTGTCAGAAGGGGAGTTCGAAGGCGGTGGGGGAGGCAGGTTTGGCGCCACACTGCAGACCGCCACTGCTTTTCGGTGCCCGTGCACAGACTCGGGGTTGAAAGTGCTGAATTCGGGATGCTCTGGGATGGCAGATCCTTCAAAGGAATTTCGGTCGAGATTGTTTCTGGAGTCACTTGGAATACTCGGGGTGTAGGAAATAGGCCGGACAGGCACCTGGGGTGGTACGTCTGAGTAAATGTTCTTATTTAGCTTGGAATCAAAATACGGTCTCTGCAAGAAAGCCGTAGTGGGTCCCAGGTGCTTGTCTTCAGGCTCAGCCTGATGCTTCTTTTTCCGACTCATCATCTTACGGCAGAGAACAAACACCACCACCAGTAAAAATATCCCTGCTATAAACACAATGATTCCGATTCCTTCCGCCAGCCCAATGTTCCACGGCGTGGACACGTACTGGTTGGGTGCAGCGTCCTCGCAGTGGCGTCCTCTGTACTCGTGGCTGCAGTTGCAGTGATAGGAGCCGTGTGTGTTCTCGCAGAGGGCCCCGTGTCGGCAGGGGTTTCCAGCGCACTCGTCAATGTCACTCTGACACCTGCCAAGAAAGTCAGGAATGAGGAGAGACGTGTGTAGCACACGCCAGCATATGCCAGGCTCAATCCTTAGAGACCGAAGACGAATCCCTCCTTGCTGAGTTATGTGAAGATCAAACCCAGACATGAAACAACTAAAAAGTGCAACATTGACAACCACGACAAAAGACCTTTTTGGTTTGGTTTTGGAGAAACCAATCATGTGATCACATGCTTTCGATGTCTATTTGGGAAGGAAACCTATCAAGCCAATATTAATGGCCATTTTCCTAGGATCCAACAGACTACTACATCAACCCCATTGTCTAAACATTAGTTTTCTCAAGTATTATATTATATTCATCTGCTTCATATTTCATTTTAAAGAGTGAAAAGATTGTAAATTATATAAGGGGCCAATATGAGGATTATCAAAATCTGACACAACGTAGTTCAAGTCACTGAAGGTCTGTTGCATCTGCCGGTCAATATGACACTATGAAAAGGTGTGAATCTAAATTTTGAAAGAAACCATTTACCTTTCTCCCCTAAAACCTGAATCACACTGACAAACGGCACCATCCAAACTGTCAAAGCATGTTCCGCCATTCTTACAGGGGTCATCTTTGCAGTACGGACTAAGCTGACACCTGAAGAGTAAGGAGAGACAGACGTAAACCTCACGATCCGATTGCAAATAAATACAGCAAAACGAAAGCAACACAGAAAACATTAGCAAATCAACGTGGAGACTTTTTACATGCACCATTTTATGTTTAAAAAGAATTTTATGCTACAATTAATTACGGAAGTTAAGAAAAACACACATACCTCTGACCAGTATATAACCCTCTACACTGGCAAACAAAGCCTCCGTTGTCGACAACACACGTGCCCCCATAGAGGCACGGGTTGGAGGAACACGGATTGACGCTTATCTCGCAGTACGTCCCTATGTATAAGGCGCTGCATTTGCAGTAATAACCTAAATTGGCAAAAAGGAACAAAAAAGTCTTATCACTCAATGACTCAGAAACCTGGTCTTAATTATATTGCTTTTTATCTTTAAGATTTAGTTCTCCGAGGTCCGTAAAAGCTCGTAAAATTCTCACTCTCTCTGGGAAAAAAGTTGGCTATGTCGACAAGCCTTCAGCTGCTGGTAAACCGAAACACACAGAATTGAAGAGAGAACTGTTAGCTTTAGTTCATCACAATTGGCATTAAGATCATTAGGTCAAACATCCAGAGGAGGAAAATACAGTTCTTTACTTGAGTGACCATGTACATAGACAGCACCACTTCACATCTCAAGTTATTTGCAATTCACAAGCATTGAAGGATTAAATGAGAAAATAATGAATGTGAAAAGCACTTCAAAGACTATAAATTACCTTTCAATATTTTTATTTTTTGAGACAGGGTCTTGGCTCTGCTACCCAGGCTGGAGTGCAGTGGCTCGATCTCAGCTCACTGCAGCCTCAAACTCCTGGGCTCAGGAATCCTCCCGCCTCAGCCTCCTGAGTAGCTGGGACTACAGAGGCATGCTACCATGGCTGGCTAATTTTTAAAGTTTCTGTAGAGATGGGGTCTCCCTATATTGCCCAGGCTGCCTCACTCCTAGTCTCAAGCGATCCTCAGGCCTCAGCCGCTCAAACGTGTAAAGATTGAAGAAAGGAGATCGTCGTATCTGTTCAAAGCAGTAGGAAGAATGTCGACTCTACTTTGTCAAGCCTGTGACAGGTGGTGTGGTAGATCTTCCACCTGCCTGCCTTGGGGCACACTGCAGCACCGCGCTTCCCCGCGCCCCCCAAAGCTGGCGTGGCTGTGGGTTTTTCTCAGGATGAAGAACTGTGGTGCCCCGGGCCAGGGCCTGCAGGAGCCAGGGCACGGCTGCCACGCTCCTCTACTCCGGCTTCGGGACCACGGGAGTGCATGCCAGGAAAACACCTCTCAGCCTCATCCCTAAGTGACAAAATGAGGACAGCCTCCTTGCTAACCTGGTTTGGACGTGTAACTGATACAAGCACAGTATAAACCAGAGCGTTTCTGTGGGGATGGCCTGGCCCACTCTATGCACACGGCTTGCAAATACACTTCCCAAGAGAACAGGAGGAAACCAAAGCTTTGGAAATCCCACTTAATTACAGCATTGTTTTTGCTCTATTCTGTTTGGCATGACAACTGTCATTTTCCTAACTATACCCTATTATTGGTAAGGGGGCCTAGCAGGAGTCCAGGGTGCAAAAGACCCAGAGTACCCCACTAGGCCGGGGCTTCAAGACAGACAGATACAGCAACACTTCCGGAGGGATGCAGGGCCTTCTAGAAAATCATATTCCCAACTATTATTGCCAGCAAGACTCTAGCAGGCCCTCTACACTGCGCCATTAGATAAAAGGTGATACAAAGAACAAAGAAGGGGTAAGTGGCACGAATTCTAAATTCCCCTGGGTCGATGACTATGGAGTTAAAGAAGGGTTCGGAGTCACCGGGGTGCCTCCTGCTCGGGCGCTGGGACGGCACTGCAGGCGTGCGGCAGTCGGGGGGGCAGTACCTGCAGCCCGGGCACCGGAAGAGCACCAAACCCAGCTCCCGTATGAGGGATGCTGCCTGCAGTGTCTGACAATATTATCTGAATCAAAAGAGAGAAAAATAAAAACAATACCTGGGGGGCTTCCCCTGAAATGCACACATGTGTACGGTTTACAGGTGGTGGCGTTACGGAGCCTACCTCCAGCAGGTGACGGACTGCAAATGCCTCCGTTCTGGCAAGGGCCGCTGGCGCAGTCTTCCGTAGCCGTCAGGAAGCACCCTGGAGACACACCCACCGACTCCTCCATGTGGGCATAGCTTCTGGGTTTGCTGTTGAAGGGCAGCTCCTGCCCATTCAAATAAATGGAATCCATACAACCTCTGAAACCATTAGCAACTTGAGGACTTCTTCCATGCCGTGTTCCCTGCTGACGGATGTGGCCACCAAAAAACACGTAGTTATCCAGGTTCAAGGTTTTCAGAGTCCCTGGGGCTGTGCCCGATGCAGTGTGAACTTGGTCTAGAACCAAGCGAGCATAGTTCCCATTCACTTCCAAGGACACTGCGTGCCACTGCCCATCATTGACCTGAATGCTCTGAACAGAGACGATGCCAGGGCCACTGCCACAGTCGAACTTGTACTGCAGCCTTCCATTATGAATCTAGGATAAAAACAACGACTGTTCACGTCACTCTCAGAGACCCTTCAGTGAGAGTACTTGATCACAAATCTACAGGAGACGGATTGGGAGTGAGGGTAGAAGGATAAGGCCTTGCATTTAAGTACTACAGAGCGCAGATTCATTGTCCACTGTACAGATAATTAAAATGCGTCTTTTAGGAATATCAAGTCATAATGCACATCCACAAAGCATCACGGAAGCAAATAATTAACTATTAACTGAACACATACAGCATTAGGTAATAGCGAAAAGTCAAAACTGAATTATGTTTTTAGAAAAGGTGGGCAAGATATGTGTCACTGGAAACACGTGGGATGTCTCTATAAACTGTCATTTTTTTTTTTTTTTTGAGACAGAGTTTCGCTCTTGTTGCCCAGGCTGGAGTGCAGTGGTGTGATCTCAACTCACTGCAACCTCTGCCTCCCCTGTTCAAGTGATTCTTGTGCCTCGGCCTCCCGAGTAGCTGGAATTACAGGCATCCGCCACCACATGTGGCTAATTTTCTGTATTTTTAGTAGAGAGCGGGTTTCGCCATGTTGGCCAGGCTGGTCTCAAACTCCTGACCTCAAGTGATCCACCCATCTCAGCCTCCCAAAGTGCTGGGATTACAGGTGTGAGCCACCACACCCAGCCACCACCATTAAAATGTAGTATGGCCTACAGTTTGAATGTTAACTGTCACACGGACCTAAATCTCTATGTCATGGCAGAGCAAAAAGAGCTCTTCATCCCACAAAGTCTAAAACTTAGACAGGCATCAATGAACTGTTTAAATGTGGAATTCAACCATTTCACTTACTTTATTATCTGTGCAAATTAACAATCTGAACATAAAATGAAATGTATGGTTTGAAAGTCTTCCACTGAGACGCAACACTGGAGAAACATACCTCCAAGATGCTATAGTCGGTTCCTCGCGCGTACATGACAACCGCATGCATGGAATACGTTCTGAGCCTCATGGTCAGTTTCATCTCTAATTTGTTTTCATTCTCCGTCAGACGGTATTTCACATAGCTATTTCCAGTCAGTGTCATAGATGAACTCCCTGTGAATATTGTAAAGAGGAAAAAATAAACCAGAACCAAGTTGAAGGATATTCTTTAAAGTATGACCCCCCTGCACCCCTTGAGACTGATTTAGGGTTTTACTTAAGATTGTAACATTTTAATATCCAGTTCTGTGGGAAAATGTCTATTTGCTTAATGAAAAGCACAGCATGACTGGCTCTCTGTTTGGAAAGAATAAATTTGACTACTGCATCACACAGAAATTAATTCTAATGAAAGATTAAATATAAAAACGTTCAGTATAAAATTATAAGAAAATTTCAGAAAATAGTTATATATGGCCTCAAGGTGATTTAAGAAATCTTTTCAAGCAAAATCAAACAATCCCCATTCGCAAAAGAAGACGAAAATGTCATCAATCTCCAGAGATGGCAACTGTTATATAAAATGATGTAGAACTGACTAAATGACAATAAATTTCAAAATGACAAGAGACTTATTAACAAATCAAAAAATATAAATATAAATGATATAAAGACAGAGGAAACTGCAACATTGTGAATGTTAATACTCCTAATACACAAATAACTCTACACATTGATACTAAGAAACAAATAACCCAGACCATGAAACAACATGAACAGGTAGGCCACAGCAGAGGCAATACTGATAGGAAATGAACAAATGAGATGAAAACTTTTAAAGTAGCCAGAGAAATACAAATTAAAATAATAATTAGATATCATTTCACACCCATCAAATAGATGGTGGGGAATTCGTTTTATAATAAAAAATGTTCAATGATGTCAAGAGAATGGAGAGTGAAACCTTCATACATAACTGGAAGAAATAAAAATTAATATGACTCTCTGGAAAACTAATATAGTGATATCAAAAAATTTAAAATGTCACTGATCTTTGATGTAGCAAGTTCTAGTTTTATAATGTATATGCTGTATATAAATGAACGCATCAGTATGTAAAGATACATGTAATCTGTTTATCTGAAAGAAACAGAACTACTTAAATCTTTAGACATAAGAATCATGTTGAACAAGTACAGTTACGCTGGAAAACATTATCCAGCTATCCAAAAGAATCAGGTGTATAGGTACTGGCTTGGAACAACACGAAAGCTGCTCTTTACCATACTGCTAAGCGGAGGGAAAAGGCAAGAGGGAGAGAACTGCGTGAGATAGGATCACTCTTGAGTTTCTAGGAAAATCAAACTGCTACATACGGCGCTGCGCTGTTAGCTATACATGTTTACACAATCACTGAAGACCCAGGAGGAGGAAGACCAAATATGAACCAAGGGCTGTGCTATAACAAGAGGAAGCAAAACTGACTACTGTCATTCTTCATTCATCTCCACATCTGTCTTGTTACAATAAACATACTTTGCAGTATGTTTAGAGTCCAATAAAGAAGAAAATTATAAGAAACAAGGAAACTGATTTTTAAAAAGAAAAGCATGCCCAACCACTCAACTCTCACCTGGGCACTGAGCAAACCTGCCGCCGGGACAGACACAGGTGTGTTTCTCCTCCCGGGGATCAGACACACACTCGGATCCCTCAGGGCATGGATGGTCTTCACAGCCATGGTGGACAGCTGGGCATCTTCCCTCTTCATTCAAAGACAAGAGGGGAGGAAGGGAAACGATAATTAACAGACATTTCAAGAACATGGCCTTGCATGTGTAACCATCAAAGGCTTCCAAGGCCGTCTGAAACAATCTATGACCCCGACTTCCACACACTCATGGGCGCTACCTTTGCAGAGACACACCGCTGCCCTGTGGTGGCGGGGAGTCACAAAGCTCAGTCTGGCTGTGCTGTGTGTTGACATCACACTTTCATCCACAGACACCTTTTCATCGCAGAACTTCCAGGGGCAGTCCAGTCCTGCGCAGAGTTTCTGGAATACATCCAGGATCCGAACTCCAATGATGTCCTCAATATCAGTCACGGAAGAATTAATCTTGTGCAGAAGTTGTTTTGTTGAAATCTGAGCACCACCTGATTTCTCTACAAAAAGTAAGACATCCAGATGTGGGTGAGGTTCAGAGGGCTGCAAACTAACAATGTGTATGTCACTCCTCCTCACACCCAGGATGTTCCGTAAAGCTCGCTGGAAGTTGCGCCAGTAGTCACCCACAAATTCTTCCGGAGTGAGATTGGCAAAGCGGATAGCGATGGTGTGGTTCAACATCTCCTGTGTGACTTGTCTGATATGCACTGTGATGTCAGCCACCGTCGTGAACTTCCCATCTGTCACGCTGACATTGAGAAGGTACTGCCCTATGTCCAGCTTTTTGTGTGCTATCAGCTTGCCCCCTGTGCTGGAAACAGAGAACAGGTTGTCCATCTGAGGATCAAGACTGTAGGTTAGAGTATCATACACGTCCTGGTCTGTGGCGTGGATCTTCCCAATGACGCCACCTGAGTATTCTTCTCCAGAAGCGGTGATGAAAATCTCCAGGGGCAAAATCGCAGGGGGATAGATGCTCTCCTCAATGACCCTAATGTCAATGTATGTCAGAGATGACAACTGAGGTTTTCCATTATCTGCCACCTACAAGAAAGGAAAAATAAAACCACCTTCGCCTATGGCACTGTTTATAACTTAATTAAAAAATTTATATTACTCAAGTTCCCAAAAGATTACTAACTGGTAGATATCCATTTCTCTACACAAGAAATGTATCAAAGAAAAGGATAGATTTATTTATAGCACTTCACTAATTCACACGAAAACCTAGCTCTGTCAATGACTATGAAAAAATAAACAATGAGCTCCTTTAAAGCACGGTGGGATAAAAATGGAAGGTATGGCAAAAAACAAGGACAGCAATTCTTTGAATGTTTGTTTTTCTATAAAATGTAAGCTGTTCAAACAGAAAAGGGTAACCGTGCCAAGCAGCTCTTCTCTATGAATCCACAACCAAACCACAAAGAAAGCCATTCACACCTTAACCTGCAGTAAGAAATGATCTTTCTCCTTCCTCTTGATGGCAGATGCAGTCAGGAGGACCCCTTGCTGGTTAACTTCAAACGCCTTCTCATCATTTCCAGTCACAATGGTAAAGACGAAGGGTGGACCGTTATGGGAAGAATCCTCATCTGTCACCACCAGCCGCAGGACGCTGAAGCCCACTGGCTTGTTTTCCTGCACAAGATTAGAAACAAAATGACACAAAAATCCTGGAACACAGCCAGATCTATCTGGGACGGACACATGAGTTTCTATAATATAAAATACATACAAAACAAAGCCTTATTGCTCTATTGGAAGGGAAGAGAAGAGAGGTGGCAAAGGGAGTGTGGTAGTGAGGAGGAGGGAAAGGAGAAGGGGTGTAGCAAAAAGGGAAGAAAAGGAGGCTGAGGAAGGAAACGTGGTAAGAAAGGATGTGTGAGGAGGAGGAGGGAGGAGGGGAGGCAGAAAGGAGGAGGAGTGGGGGACAGGAGGAAGAGCAGAGAGGAGTAGGAGTGCAGGAGAGGAAGAGGACTGGAGGAGAGGAGGAAGAGAGGAGGCCAGGTGCGGTGGCTCACCGCCTGTAATCCCGGCACTTTGGGAGGCCAAGGCGGGTGGATCATCTGAGATCATGAGTTCGACACCAGTCTGGCCAACATGGTGAAATCCCATCTCTACTAAAAATACAAAAATTAGCTGAGTGTGGTGGCGGGCGCCTGTAATCCCAGCTACTTGGGTGGCTGAGGCAGTAGAATCATCTGAACCTGGAAGGTGGAGGTTGCAGTGAGCTGAGATGGTGCCACTGTACTCTAGCCTGAGCAAGAAGAGTGTAACTCCATCTCAGAAAAAAAGAGGAAGAGAGGAAGGAAGAGGAGGAGTGGGGAGGAGAAAGAAAAGAAGTTGACAAGAGGAGGAAAAGTGAGGAGGGGGAGGAGAAGGAGTAGTGAGGAGGAGGGGTGATGAGGAGGAGTGGCCACGAGGTGGACAGGAGGAGAAAGAGTGGAGACAGTGAAATGGGGAGGAAGTGGAGTAGGGAGGAGGTGGGGGAGCAGGTGGAGTGGGGAAGAGGTGGAGTGGGGAGGAGGAGTGGAGAAGAGGTGGAGAGAAGAGGTGGAGAGAAGAGGAGGAGTGGGGAGAAGTACGGGGAGGAGGAAGAGAAGAAGGAGAAACGGAGAAGAGGTGGAAGGAGGGGGGAGTGGGGAGAAGGAAGAGAAGAAGGAGGAATGGAGAAGAGGTGGAGGGAGGGGGGAGTGGGGAGAAGGAAGAGAAGGAGGAGGAATGGAGAAGAGGTGGAGGGAGGGGGGAGTGGGGAGAAGGAAGAGAAGGAGGAGGAATGGAGAAGAGATGGAGGAAGGAGGAGTAGGGAGGAAGAAGAGCAGGGTGAAGAAAGTGGAGTAGATGGGGCGGGAAGGAGGGTTGGGGACTAGAAGAAGAGCAGGAGGGAAGAGGAAGGTCAAGAGGGAGAGGAGAGGGCAGAGAAAAGCACCAGGGGCAGCAGGTCTGATTAAACAGTAAGCTCTCAGGAATCCCAGAACAGTGAGAATATCTCAAAAATCAAAGCACAGAAAGAAAAGAGATACAAGCTTGGCTTTATCTTTAAAATGCTCATCTCTTAATATTGATAGAGACTTCTTGAATTCTACATTTCCCATTTTTCTAAAAGAAACCTTTGGATAAGAAAGAAAAGCATCAGAGGCCAATGGAAAAGCTTGTTCCAAAGAACCCCATGACCCACTTGGCACTGGAAGCCCACCTGGATGATGACGCTGTAGTTTCCCCTGGAGAAGACGGGCGCGTTGTCATTGACATCAGACACGTCGATGTTCACAGCCGTCGTGTTGACTCTAGGTGGACTGCCGTTATCAGAAGCCTGAACCGTGAGTGTGTAACCTGAAATCTTTTCAGGGAAAAGGCAGAATGCACGCTCATTTTCACGAGGCCGACAGACAGAGCTCCAATCAGGAGCGTCCTCCTGAGAGTCGCGAAGGGCAGGTCCCAGTGAGCTGCCATTATCTATTGCATCCTGCCTGTGGGCGATGCCCTAACCCCCACAAACGAGTGCACTGCAAGTAACACCCATTTCCTAACAGCAAGAACTACCGGTAACGATTAGATTCTCTGATGCCTCTCAAAAATGTACTTGTTTTGCAAAAGTGTTTTATCTTGCAGTTCTATCAATAGAAATTAAGACATAAAAGTCATACAAATGATTAGGACAGAAAGTTAACCTATCTCAAATGCTGCGGCTTTGGTCACATGGCAGCAGCCTTACTTAGGGCCCAAGTCTGCTCTCCGTGGACGCAGACAGACGTGAGCTGCCTCCCGCACCGCAGCGCTGCCTCACTTCCAACGCCTCAGGGCACTCCAGACCACCCTCCCCTCGATTTCACACTCGGATTATACTCAGCTGTCTAAATCCCTCAGGATTAGCTCGCCATGACCTCCTACCAAAGAAATAAAGTCAAGTGAGATAGCTTCTTTTTCACGGCAGTTCCCTATAAAGCTCTGCCTTCTAGAATGAGTTGTGGGAGAAGCCGGAAAGCTGGCTAGATCCCAGAGCATGTTCTACAGAACGCTGGTCCTGCAAGACGCTCCAACAACAAAGAATTCTGCTGGCACACTAGCTTGGGAACCACCACAGGCTGGCTCCTTTGGCATCTCACAAGGGACAGAAGTGTATTAAAGGCTCTGGGTTCTTTAGTCAAAGATACTAAATTTATTCTGCCCCGCAGTGGGGGCAATCCTAGGCATGCTTCCCAAATCCTTAGAAAGTCCCTTCTCAACATTCACACATCAAAAGAGAAATTAAAGAATTGAGACTTTAATGAGATATGTCATCACTATCTCCCCCCAAATTCCTTTAATCTTAGATATACCCATTATTCTTCTGAAATTTCATTCTTTATCATCACCAGTGTCCTTCTCATTCCCAAATCGAAGGCTTTTTCTGGTTCTCCTTCACAGGCCTACCTCTCTGAGGTAGTTCCTGCTCAGCTTCCCTTCCTGGACATGACTCTGCACAGATAGGTGAATGGATGCATGAATGGATGGATGGATGGATGGATAGATGGGTGTTGGGTGGATGGGTAACTGGATAGATAGGGGGGTGGATAAATGGGTGAGTGAATAACTGTATAGATGGGTGAATGAATGGGTAAGTGGATACATGGGTGGGTGGGTGAGTAGGTGGGTAACTACATAGATGGATAACCAGATGGATGGGTGGGTGGGTGGATGGATGGATAACCAGATAGATGGGTGGTGGGTGGACGGACACATGACTGGATAGATGGGTAAGTGAAGAGACGTGTAGATGGCTGAGTGAATAGGTAACTAGATAGATGGGTGGGTGGTTAGGTCAGTGGGTGGATGGATGGATAACTACAGATGGGTGGATGGATAACTGGATGGATGAATGGATGGATGACTGGATAACTGGATGGATGAATGGATGGATGACCGGATAAATGGGTGGGTGGATGTTCAGCCTTGCCGCCTCTCCTCATTTGTTCATATTTATCTCAATCCCTCATGTCACTTCTATCAACATCTCCAAGGGCAAGTACCTATCTACATTTAGGGCTTTCCAGTCTCAAAATCTGACTAAAATCTCCAAATACTGGCTGAGTAATTCTGCCTGAATATGCTATTTCCCCATAAAAACCAGCATATCGAAAGCCACATTCATTAGCCTCTCCCACCCCTTACACGTTTATACCTCATAACTTTTCTTTAACGGTAATACCCAGTCAAAGACAGACCAAAAAATCAGGCTGCCTCTGACACCAATGCTTTCTACATGGGCCCATATCTAAGCTGTGTGGACTCTAATTTTTCCTTTGCAATCGTTTCTTCATTTGGTATTCGTAGACACCGAAATCCACAGATGCTCAAGTTCCTGATAGAAAATGGCAGTATTTGCACATAACCTATACACATCCTCCCACACTTTAAGTCATCTCTAGATTATAGTAGCTAATACAGTATCGATGCAATGTAAATGGTTGTTATACCAGGGGTGGGGGTTGTATTTTCTGTTGTTGTTGTATTGGTATTTTTTATTGTTTTTCTTTCTTTTTCTGGAGGCAGGGTCTCACTATGTTGCCCAGGCTGGTCTTAAACTCCTGGGCTCAATGAATTCTCCCACCTACGCCTCCCATGTAGCTGAGACTACTGGAGGAGGCCACCACACCCGGCATTTTGTCTTCTCTAATACTTTTCGATTCGTGGTGGGTTGACTTCACAAATGCTCATATCCTAGTGCCGGTGGCATCAGCTCCAAACCTCCGGTCCTGGTTTTCTATGTGGCCAATAACCTGCGTGTAAAATATCTTCCTATTTTATCTCACTCTACTTTCTTTGTATGATTACTCCAATACAACTGCGTGAAGTCCCCTCAATAACTTTCTTGGCTTCTGTCTGCGTGCCTGTGTCCATGCAGCCCCTCACTGGAAATTCCCTTCTCTCAACCTCTATGATTTTCCAGATCTCTGGTATTATTTAAAACCCAGCTTCCAGCTTTCTGAAGTGTCTCAGAACTCTGGAACCAACAGTAATTTCTTCCTGAATACAAAGCTTTATTATCCAACCTTCATCCCAGCATGGAACACATTTCTCACACTGAGATCTCCACAGTGTAACTGCTTTTCGAGTGTTTACGTCTTGCCGTCAGTTCTTGAGGCAGTGGGTCCTGCTCACACCACGCCCAGCAGACAGGAGCACGAGGCATTTCTAGGTATTGAGGTGGTAATTTGTAAACAATGTAAATCAAACTTTTCCACTTACTGTTTCTCGGTCGAGAAGTTTGGTCACTTTGACTTCTCCCCGGACAGGGTCAATGGTGAATGGGCCTCCCTGGTTGCCATCTATAATTGAGTAGTGGATGTGGCTGTTTGAGGGTCCGTCGGCATCGTCGGCCAGAACCTAGAACACACCACACTCCTGTTTAGGAGACAGCTAAGGAAGAGGCCGAAACCTATTAAACAAAATTCGTGATATTAATAGCTTAGCTGTTTTAACACAATTATCCACAACGAAGTCAGTAATTGGTTGGCCTCACAAAGGACACTTTCAAATCTTCAAAATATTTACAAAGATCACTACAAAAAACAGATTGATTTTACTAAAAGCTTTTGCAAAGGTCCAGAAGATACACAGTTTTCACTGTACTGGGGAAAATACACACCGTGATGACAGACTGCTCAAGAACGGCATCTTCACTGACCACTGCTGTGTAGGTGTCTTGGCTGAACACTGGCGCGTTGTCGTTGACATCCGTTACGTTAACGTTCACAGTGGCAACGTCACTCAGAGAAGGCGTGCCTCCATCAGTGGCCTCTATGGTTAGGTAATATTCATGAGAGCTTTCATAATCCAGATTCTCGATGATAAATACGGCCCCTGAACAGAAACCAAAATTACTTCCAGCATTTTGTAATGCCACCACATTTTCCTACTATGACTGAAACAGATAAACACTTTTGAGTACATTTAGTTTTCACTTCAAAAGTTTACTCACCATTTATGTATGTTTCCTATTTTCTTAATTCAACAATTAAAAACTATGAATCTGCCCATCCCTGGATCTTTCTCTTAATTTTCATGATATTCTTCATGATATTTAGATTGCTTTCCCAGTCAACACTACCTACATCCCTGTTTATTATAAACATGATTATTGTATCATCCCTTCCATACCATAGCTCACTCGACTTCACTCTAGTTTAATAAAATAAAAACATAAAAATTCTATTGTGTCTTTTCATTTCATTTTCTGTCTCATCTTTTTAAAATATTTTCCTTCTCATATTTTTAAAATAGAGATTTATATCCTTTTAACTTCTAGATAACCCTTTATTTACAACCTATCGTTTTCAAAAATCCCTTTTTTAACAATTCCTTTCACATCTTTCCTTTCACATCACTCTAGTCCTAAAGAGCCCTAAAAATAATTTTATTGTATTATAAATACAATTTGAATGGAGCAACTTTTTACAGTATTGTAAGACTTAGGAGTACGTTCGACCACAGGTTAGCAAGACAATGAAACATTCACGCAGCAGGAGTCAGCAGTTCTTACGCCTTTTGAGCTTGTTGGCAGTCTTTCCCTAAGTGTGATTCAAAGTACTCCAACTGTTATAGATAACTAGCATGATAATGAAGTCAACTTAATATATTATCAGAAGTCCACTACAGAAACTAAAATAAAAAAGACTGGAATTACTATTTCACTTGGGAAGTTACTTTCCGTGAGTTTGATTACATAAGGACCTCAACTGACCCCCCTTCTTATCTTTACTAACTTGCTATACCTCACATCTCAACTAAACTAAGAGAACGTGATGCTCTGATTTTCTAAGTTAATTTGCTTGTATTTTCTAATGAACAAGCCCAAAATGTATTAGGTAGAACTATAATCTGAAGTCTTCCAAACAACATTCAATCCCACTGTAAACAACTAAAAGAAAACTTGATTTACCTTTTTAGAACATCTACTGACAACACAGGGTCACTTAATATAAGGCAACATGGTAAGCAAATCTAGTCCTTTTAGGGGAATGAAGGGTTTCCTCTCAGATACGTGGTTGGTTACCTGTTTTAGAATCTATGCTGAATTTCCCATGTTCGTTTCCACTTATTATTGAGTAGGTGATTTCGGCATTTGCTTCAATATCCCGACTTGCTGCATACACTTGAAGAACTTCAGTTCCGACAAGAATGTCCTCGGACACGGTGGCTCCATATTCACGGTACTCAAACACAGGGGGGTTGTCATTTATGTCAAGAACTGATACAACCACAGTACCAGTGGCGGTCAGCCTCCTTGGCAAGCCTTGATCCACAGCTTTCAAAGAGAGGGTGTATACTGCCTGGAGTTCTCTGTCCAAAGGTTTTTCTAACTGAATAATTCCAGATAATTCGTTAATGGAGAACTGCCCATCAGCAGAGTCAATCAGTGAGTATAAAATCTTCCGATTTAATCCTATCAAGACATAAAATGATGTCAAAAGATTTTACATAAAAACATTTAAACACATTTTTTGTTTTGTTTTCTTGAGACAGAGTCTCGCTCTGTTGCCCAGGCTGGAGTGCAGTGGCGTGATCTTAGCTCACTGCAGCCTCTGCCCACCAGGTTCAAGTGATTCTCCTGCCTCAGCCTCCCGAGTAGCTGGGGTTACAGGTGCACTGTAATTTTTGTATTTTTAGTAGAGACGGGGTTTCAGCATCTTGGCCAGGCTGGTCTTGAAGTCCTGACCTTGTGTTCCACCTGCCTCAGCCTCCCAAAGTGTTGAGATTACAGGCATGAGCCACTGCACCCGGCCAACACTTATTTTTAAAAAAGACAAACATGTAGATAATTTTTTTAGTGGGGTAAATGCTAATATACATTATTTGCAAATTTGTATGACTATGATCTTTAAAAAGTAAACTTTCTGGATTAGATTAACAACTTACTTTGTTAAAACAAATATAAATATACTTTCATGGGAATCTGCCTTTTTAGACTATTCTATATAGGAGCCAATACTACCGTACCTAACAAACCTTTAAAAATCAAATCTATTTATCATTTGGCTTCAGTGATAAAGATGTGAAAAGCAACAAAGCAAAATTTTTGCTATTCTTCTGAAATTTCTCAGGATCACAGGGTGAGTATCCCTAAACTGAAAATCCAAAATGTGAAATGCTCCAAAATCTATTAACTTTTTGAATGCAGAACTGATGATTTTAAAAAAATGCTCATTAGAGCATTTTAGATTTCATATTTTTGGAGCCGGGATACTCCAATGATAAGTACATAATGCAAATACTCCAAAATCTGACAAAAATCAAAACATCCAAAAATACTTCTAGTTCCAACTGTATTATAAATAAGGAATACTCAACCTGTGGTATGCCTAAAAAGTTATTCTCTGCTACCAAATGCTATAAATATATCTTCTATAGTCCAATTTTCTCCAAAAAAATTCTGAAAGATTTGTAAACCTATAATAATAAAGCATTTGCTTCCATTATGGTCCAATGATGCTAAAAGCTCTCTCTGTCACTAATGGTTTATTTACAAAGTAACACATCACTAATTAATTCAATGGGGTATGAAGATCAGTTAATATAGTCATTAATCAGAATTGTAGATATCTCACAGCAGTAGGTTCACTGGGCACAACTTTGGAACTTTAAATATTCATTAAAAATTAATTAATGATTCTAAAGATTTCCTTCCACAACAAGCAAGGGCTACGGAGCACGCGTGAGGAGGAGTGAGAGGCACAGGCTGAATCTGGGGTGTGTTTTGAAACAGAGGCTCCTAGGATCTCAGTGAGCAGTGCAGGGCAAGAGCACCCCCCAGGAGATACCTGAGTCGGCATCTGTGGCCTGCACTCTCGTCAGCAGCGTTCCGGGCTCTGTGTTTTCAAACACGGTGATGGCATAAGGATCGGCAGAGAACTCAGGGGCGTTATCGTTCACGTCTTCCAGCGTGAGCACAATACTGGCTTGGCAGAATCTCCCTCCTCTATCTGTGGCCCTGACGAGAAGATGATAAACAGCTTGCTCCTCACGATCAAGGGGGGCTGACGTTTTCAGTTCACCTACAAACAAAAACAAATGACTCACTTGTAATTTAAGATGTGACCTGCAGCTGTACATCTTATTTCTTCCCCTTTTCTCTTTCAATTACTTAGTCTGAGTATTCAGTCTTCCTCTTGAGACCAATATTATCAATGACAGATTCAACAGCTGCAAGAGGCAGTGAGAGCCAGGTCTCCAACCCTGCCAGGTGCTGGCTCTTCAAGCCCTGCAGGTCTGAGGGCCTCTCACCTTGCGTTTAAGACTGCACAGGTAAAACAGCTACCTAATTTACCAAATTAAAAAAATGTTTAAATTTAGATTCACATGTTCACAATTAGTTCCTTAGGAGGAAAATAAAAAGGTTTAACAGGAAACTTAGTTGATCCCAATTTTACTAAAATACAAAAGGAAAACAACTCTATTTTAAAATAAAATACCATGAATCATTTTGTTTGTGAAAATTCTAAATTATGCTAAATTATAAATTCATGGTCACAAATTCAAGAAAATATGCTATTTAAATAAAATGGATAAAGCAGAAAGCTTGAGTTTAACTTCTGAGGGTTTTTTTTTTTTTTAAACAAGTGGCATAAATGCCTTCTAAATTTTAAATCCTTGGTTCAATTAGGTGATATTCTTGCTGTTTTTAAAAAATATCACCTTGAATTTTACACACTAAATTGCTGGTAAGATTTCTAAGAGATGTCAACTTCGGAGCATCAGAATACATTTGAAAAGGGCAAAATGTAATTTCAAATTTTGTGTGTGATCTAAAAATCACCCACATATATGATACTGTTGGAATATACAATTTTGTCCCAAACTCCATCATTACCTGTGTCTGGATTTAGCTGGAATTTTTCTGCACCTGAACCCGATAATGTGTAAGTAATTTCAGCGTTAGAGCGGATGTCTGCGTCTGCGGCAGAGATCTGCATGATCAACTTTCCAGGAAGGACGTCTTCAGGAATAGTGTCTGAATATAAAGTCTGCAAAGAGTTTAACAAAAATTGTCACATAAAAACATTAACAGGCAGCACAAATGTCAAGGGAATAACGGAAAAGAAATCACTCATCTTTGACCACAGAAAACATGGGAAATGACTAAAGATAAAATCCCAAGAGCTTTGAAAACGATTTTTCTCATAAAACATAAAACACATGTGAAACAAGGAGAAGCCGTGGAGCAGCCACCAACTCTACATCCCTGAAAGAGCCTGGTCTGATGTTTAACCTACAAAATGCTACTATATGTCATTAAGCTGATTTCATATTCAAATCCCTATGAGAAAACGTAAGCAGTAATCGAAAATTTAAGTACCACTCCATGTTTAACTAAAAATTGCAGAGAATACCGGTTATATCATATCTGCTTATTTCCAAATACAGGAATTTTATTTTTTGCAAGTGTTCCTAACATAAATAATTGCAGTTGAGAGAGAAGCAAGTTTCATGTTATGGGAGAAAACGAAGATTCCTGAAGGCCACAGAAGGGAGCGTGAAGGCTCAGCCCCTTCCACTGCCCTGCGTGATCCTGGCGCCCAGTCTTCAGCCCCTTCCACTGCCCTGCGTGACCCTGGCGCCCAGTCTTCAGCCCCTTCCACTGCCCTGCGTGACCCTGGCGCCCAGTCTTCAGCCCCTTCCACTGCCCTGCGTGACCCTGGTGCCCAGTCTTCAGCCCCTTCCACTGCCCTGCGTGACCCTGGTGCCCAGTCTTCAGCCCCTTCCACTGCCCTGCGTGACCCTGGTGCCCTGTCTTCAGCCCCTTCTGCTGCCCTGTGTGATCCTGGTGCCCTGTCTTCAGCCCCTTCCACTGCCCTGCGTGACCCTGGCGCCCTCTCTTCAGCCCCTTCCACTGCCCTGCGTGACCCTGGTGCCCTCTCTTCAGCCCCTTCCACTGCCCTGCGTGACCCTGGTGCCCAGTCTTCAGCCCCTTCCACTGCCCTGCGTGACCCTGGTGCCCTGTCTTCAGCCCCTTCTGCTGCCCTGTGTGATCCTGGTGCCCTGTCTTCAGCCCCTTCCACTGCCCTGCGTGACCCTGGCGCCCTCTCTTCAGCCCGTTCCACTGCCCTGCGTGACCCTGGTGCCCTCTCTTCAGCCCGTTCCACTGCCCTGCGTGACCCTGGTGCCCTCTCTTCAGCCCGTTCCACTGCCCTGCGTGACCCTGGTGCCCTGTCTTCAGCCCCTTCTGCTGCCCTGTGTGATCCTGGCGCCCTCATGCTCAAACACGGTGAACAGCTGTTTCTAGCTCCAATTATTTAGAAATCCATGCCATAAATTAAAACCTAAAAAAAGATTAAGATTTGGTTGATTTTCTTAATCTGAACTCAACTATCAGTGAAGTACTCATGGAAAAGGACTCAGGAAAAAGGGTATTTCATAATAGGATGAATTTAAAGGATCTAGTGTCCCCGTCTTATTCCTGAAGATGATACAGTATTGTATCGAAATAATAATATCAAAGGGCTAAAAAACAACCAAAGACACTTAGTTGCTGTAAGAAAGAGAGAATGTCGCACCCCTCCCGAAAATACAAAGTACAAATAAGAACTGGAATTAACTCCTCGGCCCTTAGAAGTTCCCCTTCCTTTCACGACCGAATTTAAGGGTTCTTCCATCTTAAGTCTTTCCCTGAGAACAGCCCTATCACTTTCCACAGCCACAAGCATCTCAGACTCACAGAATCTGTGGTGGGTTCCAACTCCTCCATCCTCTTCACAATCACATTCCTCTCTACCCAGCCTTCTCCTGGCCCCGTGCACTCCTCCTCCCTGTCACTCTCGGCCTTCGTCCCTGGGCAGGTCTATTTCTTCATCACTGCACTCTCTCATCAGGCATCCATCCACAACATGCTACCCAGACTGCCACCTGCACACCATCATGGGACCCAAATGGTCTGTTTCGCACCCCAAACATCCCAGCTCCACTCGTCACCCTGCCTCCCCAGAGTCCCCTTCTCCCCTACCCAGGGTGGCACTGCACTGGTGTCCTCTTTCTCCTTCCAGCTCAGCCCCCTTCTCCCTTTGGAAATCTCTCTCTCTTCTTTTTTCCCCTTTTTGTTAGTATCCTCTCAAATGAATTCAATTTTCAGCTATCCAGAGACAACGCTAAGTTCCCACACCTTTCCCTGATACCCATCCAACATCTCGCCTTCTCTCAGTGTCTAAAAAAAACACGGTCAACTGGATGTCCCATTACTTTAGCAAACTGGAATTGGAACTCAACACGGAACTCCTCCAAAGCCAGTCCCCGGCTCAGACTCCTCTTTGCCATGGCCTTGGTCGCTCCCTCTACTCCTGTAGAAAGTCGGGCTCAATGGCATGCCCGCCGGCTGGCACACCAGATGGTCTTCCTTGGTAGTGGCTTTGGTCCTTTCACTCCTTGCCCACCTCTGCTTTCCAGGGCCCCCTTGCATCCACTCCTCCCTGTCTAAATAATGGGCACGATGCTTCCAAACTAAGCTTCTTTTTTTTCTTTTTTTGAGACGGAGTCTCGCTCTGTCTCCCAGGCTGGAGTGAGCGGGGCGATCTTGGCTCACTGCAAGCTCCGCCTCCCAGGTTCACACCATTCTCCTGCCTCAGCCTCCCCAGTAGCTGGGACTACAGGCGCCGCCACCTCGCCCGGCTAATTTTTTGTATTTTTAGTAGAGACGGGGTTTCACAGTGTTAGCCAGGATGGTCTCGATCTCCTGACCTTGTGATCTGCCCGCCTTGGCCTCCCAAAGTGCTGGGATTACAGGCGTGAGCCACTGTACCCGGCCCAAATTAAGCTTCTTAAGGAATTTGTCTCATAGCATCTCTACCTTACTGATACAATAGGCTCCAAAGTCCCTATTTTCCCCAGGATAGAGTTCAAATCTCCTGGAGCGACCGCCACCAGCCACTGTAATCCAGTTCACCCTTTTCCAAGACTCTCAGTGCAGATTCCCCACTTCCGGAAAACTCAGTGGCGATTCCCACAATCCCTCCTCACACTCCACGGCTCCTCCCCACCCACCCCTGACGACTCAGTTACCGCCCCCGAGGCTGAGCCAGCCCTTCTCGCCCTCTGGCCCCAGGGACCACCCCTGCTCGAGCCACATGGCCCTCACCTAATCTTGGAGGGAGCCTCTCTTCCTATGTCTGCTTTTAGTTCTCACTGAATGGTGAGTCCCGCAGATGCAGGAAGCACGCTGTCCACCTCTGAGATTCTCTAGCATGCAGAAGAGCAGATGTCCCCAAAACAGTGTCCCACGGCACATCGGCACTTTGTTTCCGGTCAGATCCTTCCCCCAAAATAGCTGTATCCCCATATTAAGAGAATCCCCTCATGAAAAGTTTACAGAGCATTTTCAGTGTTAGACACAACTGTAGTCCTGTCCATAATTTAGTTATTTAGAATGAGGTTTCTGATTTATTTAGCATTCCTGCAAATAGTTCTGAAGCTTTTCCAAGTCTTACCCCATTTAACACCTCTGCTTAATCAGTAAGCAATCATAAAACACATGTCAATTACACCACAGTGCCAAATGATGGTCATTAAGAAATTTAAATTCATAACACACAAATGCAAGGGAAGAGTTGCTTACCTTTTCACAAACTGGACTGTTGTCATTTGCATCAAGAACTTTCACTTCAACTATAGCTTTTGACGAGAAGGTGCCATCAGTTGCTGTGATAGTAAGAAGGTAATTGTCCCTTTTTTCCCTGTCTAGAGGTTTCTTCACATATACCTTCCATTCATTCTGTATATTTTCAACAGCAAACTGTCCCAAAGGATCCCCTCCTATTAAATCAATGGAGGAAGATGACAGTCAAATTTGTTGAAAGGATGAAAGTAACAGAAAAAATAAACTGCACCGTTTATTTATGTTAACAATATATAAATGTTACCGTTTAAAAGAATTGAGCATTAAAAAAATCAATTTGGCATCTATTAGTTTTCCAATTTACAAAAAAAAGGGCAGCATTAAAATATATAAACATAGCATTAAGACTACTAAATAATAATTTAGCTTGCATTAAAACTATAGATTTTTTAATGATAATATATTTATAATACAGTAAATATAAGGTTCAAAAGAATGAGTCACAAAAATCAAAAACAGTCTAATGAAACAACTGGTAGCTTTGCTCAGGTAACAAGCTTGAAATGAGGCTCAACAGACGTGATTTCTACTTATTATTTTAGATATTTAACTAAAATCATCCCTTAAGCCCTCAATTTCCATATAATACATTATCTTACAATTTATGCTTCTAAAAATCATTTTAAACTGCCTGAAACTTTTTTACCTGTTATGAAATATGTAACTTGTCTGTTGATCTCTTCAGAATCGGCATCTGTGGTACTTAAGATGGCAATCACACCGCCGGGGGGGTCATCCTCACTCACAGTCCCTTTATAGATCTCGGCCGTGAATCGTGGTGGACTATCGTTGACATCGGTGACGGTAACATCCACAATGGCTGTGGAGGACAGCTGGATCTTTTCACCATGATCTGAAGCAACCACTTTAATCTGGTAATTGTCTCTCTCTTCATGGTCAAGTTCCTTTAAGGTTGTAATCCAGCCTGTTTCCATGTTAATGGCAAAGGATTCAATGACTTCCACACTTTGTGACTGATCCAGGCTATACATAACTTGGCTGTTGGTTCCTGAGTCAGCATCAGATGCCCTGATCTGAATTACTCTACTTCCCCCTGGCAGGTTTTCAACAATGAATGCCTCATATGGACTAGATTCAAAGACGGGGCTGTTGTCATTTGCATCTTTCACTTGGATACTCACATCTACAGAAGCCACCATCTCACGGTCATCTTGAGTGCACCTGGCCAGTACGGAAAACTGATACCACTTAGTTATCTCATGATCAAGACTCTTCTCCAGCTTCAGCCTCCCGCTCTGTCTGTCAATCACAAAGGACTCATCCCTATTGCTTTCTGGGGTATTCCCTTTGACCAGGCTGTAAAGAACAGTCCCACTATGTTCTGCTCGGATGAGATCTATTTCTGTTCCAATAGGCACGTCCTCAGACACTGTATAGGTATAGAAAGGTTCTGAAAATTTTGGAAGCTGTGTTTCTGGTGGAAGGATTTTGACATAGACGGGAACAACAGATTCTTTTGATGGAGACCCATTATCCACAGCTCTAACAAAGAAAGTGAAGAACTCATTTTCCAAGCCAATGAGGCTCTCCTTTGTAGTGATTACGCCGGACAGTTTGTTAATTTCCAAATTCTCTTTTACACTGTCAGAGTCTGCTTCAATGGCATAGGTGACATCGGCATTGGAGCCCTCATCGGCGTCACTTGCGAGAACTTTAATGACTGAAGTCCCTTTAGCAGCACTGGATCCGATATTCACTTCGTATTTGGTCGCCCGAAATTGTGGTGCATTGTCATTGTCATCTGTGAGGATGACATTCACAGTGCAGAAGGCAACTTTGCCTCCAGCGTCCTTAGCCATTAAACGGACTGAGATCACTTTCTCCGCTGGGGTTTCTCGATCAAGTTTTTCCAAAGTAAATATCTGTCCTCTCTCATTTATGTAAAATCTGTCTTTGGCAAAGTCATTTACAATATGGTAAGTGACGTCACCATAAATACCAGAATCCCCATCCGTCGTTTTCACCTCCATCACCAGGGTATGTAGGGGAGCGTTTTCAGCTAGTTCCACTTCATATTCATTCTGAAGAAAAGCAGGGCTGTGCAAATTGCCTCCGATGACAGTCACATGAACCTGGGTGGAACTTCTAAAAACGCCATCGGAAACTGACAGGTTAAGACTGTAAAACGGCTTCAAGGTGTGCCGGCGTAGGTTTGAGAGGGTGATAATTCCTGTTGCACTGTCAATGATAAAATGTTTATGATCATTGCCGGACAGAATGGAATACTGCAACTTGTCGATGTCCGAACTGTCTGCATCATAGGCTTTTACACAGGTCACAAAATGCCCATGAGGGGCATGCTCGCTAATTCTGGCTTCGTAAATCTGTTGTTCAAAGAGTGGTGGGTTATCATTGAGGTCGGTAACGTCCACCGTGACAATCACGTCACTGCTCAGCGGCGGCATACCACCGTCGACAGCCCTCACAAAAATCGTGTGCCGCTGGGACTGCTCGTAATCCAGAGTTCTGAGCAGTGAAATGAGGCCGGTGCTGCTGTCCACATGAAAATGATCATGACTCTTGCTGAGATTCCCAAACAGCTGGTATGAGATTCCTCTATTGGGTTCTGAATCAGAATCTGTGGCTCTGACTTGAACAACAGATGTTCCGATTACAGATGCCTCAGACAGGGTTGCTGCGTAAGACTGCTGAGCAAACACAGGAGCATTATCATTGATGTCCTCCACTATGATGTCCACAAATACTTCAGCATGAGCGCCCGTCAAGGAGTCAGTTGCGCGTATGCTCAGTTTATACGCCGGGTGGGCCTCAAAGTCCAGAGGAGCTATGACGTTGATAACTCCGGTATTGAAGTTAATAGTGAACTGGCTGAAAGGGTCTCCGTCTGTGATGCTGTAGAACACTTTCAAGCCTTCCGGGCTGTTGGCCTGTACGTGGACCACGGGGCTGTGCACCTGGACATTCTCTGCAATCTCTGCACTGTAGAAAGGTTTTTCAAACACGGGCATGGCTTTATTCATGACAGTGATCGGAACCATAACTTCCGCTGAAAAGGCCGGGTTCCCTCCATCTTTGGCGACCACTGTAACAAGATATTCTTTATTTAAGGTGTCAAGTTCGAATTGCTTTTTCAGTGAAATTTCACCCAAGGGTCCAATTTGAAAGTATTCATGATGTTCCTTAAGGTAGTAATGCACTTCCCCGTTTCTGCCACTGTCTCTGTCTACAGCGGTGACGTGGCGAATGACACGGCCCACCTCGGTGTCCACTTTAACAACGGCGTAGTAGGGGAGGTTGACAAACACTGGTGCGTTATCATTTTGGTCTTCTACGATGACCTTCACGACAACGTGGGCCACCGCGGAAGGCTTATGTTCTTCCGTCACTTCCACAACCACATCAAACGCCTCCTGCTGTTCACGATCGAAGGGTATACCGGTGGTGGACAGTACTCCTGAAGTGCGGCTTATTTTAAATCTGCGATCTGGGTTGAGGATGTGATAAAACAAAGGCTCATTGATTGGATTCCCAATAGCAGTAATGACAGCTAACGTTTTGGCCTCCGTGGAATTCTCTTTCACTACTGCAGAGTAGACATCCTGGGTAAACTTCAGGTGACTTTCTTTGCTTTCTTTCACATTAATTTTGACAGAGGTAAGGCCAGCAAACCTGCCATCGGAAGCTCTAACGGTTAGCTCGTAGCGGCTTCTTAACTGAGTTGTGTTTTGGACAGTTAGAGCACCAGTCTTGTAGTCCATGGAAAACTTCTCCCCGATGTTGCCTTCGGTGATGGAGTAAATCAACTGTGAGAATGCGCTTGAATCGGCATCTGTAGCATTTACTGTGATGACTTTTACTCCTTTGTATGTTGGCAACAAAAGACATGCTTCATATAATGGCTTGGCGAACACGGGAGGGCAGTCATTAATGTCAATTACATGTATTGTTACATTAGCTGCATACTCAGCAAATAAACGTGGGGTTCCCATGTCATGCACTTGTACGGTGAAGTGAAAAGTGCTTGTTTCTTCATAGTCCAGACTGAGGACTGTATGAATAGCACCAGTGCTAGAATCAATAGCAAAATATTTGTGTACAGATGGTTCAACAATGTGGTAAACAAGCAAAGCATTGGAGTCTTTATCAGCATCAGCTGCTCGAATCACCAGAGGGACATTCCTGTCTGTGAGGACCACGCTGTTAATTGAGGCTGACTCACTAATGAGTCCTGTATATTCTGCCTGCATAAAAACTGGCGAGTTGTCATTCTCATCCTGCAGCTGAACTGAAACTGTTGTATTAGTGGACAAACCAGCCATGTTCGTTCCTTGTATTATCAATGTGTACACGGGCAAAGTCTCAAAGTCCAGGGCTTTCTGAGTGATGATACTTCCAGAATGTGGATTAATATCAAAAGCATCACCTGTATTTCCATCTTTTATTTCATACACCACTGATGACTGACTATGGGCTGTAACCATCCCAACAAAACTCCCAATGCTGACAGTTTCACTGATTTCAACAGAATAGTCTTTGGATGTAAACTTCGGAGGGGCGTTGTCAGCAACTGTGACGAAGATATGCACAGAAGTTACTTCACTCATGGGTGGACTGCCCTTATCTGTAGCTTTTACTATTAAATCATACTCCACTTGGTTACTTCGATCTAATTCTTTGGCAGTTTTAATAGAGCCCAAGACAGGATCAATCATAAAAGAATTTCCAATGTTTCCTGGAAGAAGAGGAAAAAATACATGTTAGACAAAAATACAAGGAGCAATAGAAGTAGTAGTTAGAGAAACAGAAACAAAGGTATCCTCAACAATTATATTCTGAAATTAAGCAGAAACTCAGGGATGTCAACATTTGAATGGAATATTCAACTTGTTTTATTTTTATCCACCTAATATTTTACAGAATTTTGATCATGAATGATGAAAAACAAAAAACAGAAGAAACAGCCCTCTGCGCTTAAAGCCAAATCTCCCTCTCTGGGCTGCACTGGGAATGTGTGGTGGGAAGACAAGGTTATCCTTCCACAAAGCAGTTGAGTAAGTCCTTTTCCAGGAGTCCCTCAAAACACTCCTGGACCACATTTGTATTTTCAACGGTCATGACTTAAGAATTCTTAAGATGTGTATTCATTACAAAAGATTTCGATTCAATAAGAAATTGACATCAAGCTTCGAGAGACAATTGTCCATGGAGAGATGTGTGTAACCTGTCCCACTTTGCAAGTTTTGAAGATTGCAACAACATTCCCTTCTTATCTTTTTCAGGTCAACTGATCCTCTAGGTCAGTGATTTTCCACTGGGGGCGATTCTGCGCCCAAGGAGACATCTGGCAATGCCTGCAGACATTTTTGGCTGTCACTACTGATCGCAAGAGGGTGCTCCTGGCGTCTCGTGGGTGGAGACCAGGGATGTTGTTAAGCACCCTACAACGCACAGGGCAGCCCTGCACAACAAAAAATACCTGGTTCCAAACGTCAGCAGTGCTGCAACTGAGAGGCTGCTTGAAGATATCGAGTGTCTCACCTCCTTTTCTTTGGACCTTTTCAGGCTATACTATATGTATCTTTAGCTGCAACCACAGCTCCAGAATATTCTATAATTTCGTAACATCGACTGAATCTTCAAAGAGATGAGCAGTTCTCTACAGCCCTTTTGGATAAATCAGGGCAGCGTTGCAGGCTCTCAGGTTTAATCTATCCACAAGCCCTCCATCCTTTTTCTGTCTCATAAACAAGCATCCAGAATTCACCATCCTCGTCATAGCACAGAATCTGTTTTCCCCAAATGAACTATTACATTTACCCAAAACAAAGCTCACTTGCCACTTAACTGCTTTCTCAAATTCTTGCTCTAGGTTTGCCATGCGTGTGGCATTTCACGGACCAGAACTACTTAGTGTGAGCTGCAAACCAGGGGATTAACCAAGCACTTCTTTCTCCACATCATGAACAGTAAACACTTCCTCTACAGTCTTCATTTCCTTCCTTTAAGACATTTTCCAAAAATCCATGGCCATTTTTTGGAGAGCAGATCCAGCCTGGCTTTCATTAAGTCTTACTGGCTCTGCATCCGGGCCCCAAGGCAGTGCCTCAGTCTGCAACAGGGCAGAGGCCCAGGCTTTCCTTAGGTCCTCATGCTCTGAGCTGAACCCTGGCTGAGGACTGGGTCCTGCTGCCTCTGCCAGGCTGTTGAGACACTAATTTCCGGCCTGTCTGTATTCATGAGTCAGTGATCCCAGGTCCTTCCTGATTGCATTTTCGGCTGTCGTCAGAACTCCAAGATCCTTTTCTCATCCCGCCTGTACATCATCCTCACTGTCTAAAATTGTTACCGACTGCCTGGCCTAACACAGGCGACTGGGGCTACCACAGTGACTCTTCATCCCCACCCCTCAGACTTCCCTATGTCTGTACTCACCCGCTGACCTAGCATATTTTATATTCATTCTTCTATATCCATTTCTCTCTTACTTTGTACAGGATAATCTTGCCAATGAAGCTTCAAATACGCAAGGCCTCGAGTGGAGGGATGAACAGACTCTCTGCTGCGGAGGAGGCTGGTGACGCTAGAGCACACTGCTTTCTGCAAAACTTGCTCCCGGCCCTGCAGCCAAGCGGGCATTCTCTTCGTCCTCAATCAGGAGCGCACACTCATCTCAGAGCCCCAGTGTTTGAGGCATCCTCTCCCGCTATTCTGTTTCCATCTCATCGCCCTGTGTTTTCTTTACAGCATGGATCACAACCTTGCTCTTTATTGGCCATGCAAGGTTCAGAAACATCCTTTATTATCTGGGGCATCGTGACTCTGATGAACACAGCTTGGAGCATGTCACTGATAACAAGGTGAAACAGGAACCCAGCTCGTCATGCGATAGATGGATCCCACATACATACAGATTAAGGCAGAAGTCATCAGATTTGCAGACGGGAAAGCAGCATCACGTTTACATGAAGAAACAATGAGGGCTGCTGAGGGGCAGAGTGCGCCCCTGCCTGGCCTAACGATAGGTACGTGCAGAGACGCCGAGGTGCACGGGTGGTGGTCAACGACTTCCTACGGCGGCAGAAAAGGTCTGTACGAGGCTGGGGGCTTATTCACTGACTTTAGCTACAATATGAGTGATTTTTAAACAACTTCAAATTGTTCCCTGTATGGGAACAGGGCAATTAACTAGACAAATAGGTTAATTTTTGCTCTTAAGCTATTAAGTGTATTACACAGAACTGTGAAGGGGAGTCTGTTTCTTCCTCTGTGGACACACTCTGGATGTTCAGCTGGGGCCCACTGACCGGCAGAGTGGCACCCTCTATTGACTCGAGGCAATTATATTGAACTTAAGTTTGGCGAAGAAAACCAATTCTAATCAACAAGTGTATTTACTTATGGAGTATCTTCTATTTCCAGGTATTAAAATGGTTTAGAAGTAGTGCTCTAATAATCTACTTTTTAAAAAAGACATAAGAAGAAAACACCACACAGACCGGAGTATGGCACTGCCATGTCTCTAGCATATAACTCAATGCGGAGTATGGCACTGCCATGTCTCTAGCATATAACTCAATGGTTACTGAAAATATCTCCTAATTAATTCCTTTTTCCCTGAAGACTCCTAATCAGACCAAACCTTTTACTTAATTAATTGCTGCTAGTTAAACATGCAGTGTTATGTACTGAATTTATAACTAGTCTTTTTGAACTTTAAATGTAATCTGACACAAATGAGAAGCAGGTAAAATACCTTTTACTCAATTAATTGCTGCTAGTTAAACATGCAGTGTTATGTACTGAATTTATAACTAGTCTTTTTGAACTTTAAATGTAATCTGACACAAATGAGAAGCAGGTAAATATGAATAAACTTAAATGAAAGGCATTTGTATGAACATTTTATAGTTTGTACTATTCCAATAGATGTCCACCTCCTCCATCCCCAGCATACGCCCACACACCCTCCACAAAACTCTACTGCATGTTAATGGCAGTGGTCTCTTACAAAGTAACTGCCGAGCATAATTTTTATATTACCAAAACTATAAAAATAGCTTCTTAAAAGCCCTAATTCTATGCCAGAATAGGCCACTGGTATTATCTATTCATTGAGGAGGGAGTTCCATTCTCAGAATACCAGATTCCTAACCCTATCAGTCATTAGAAGCATTCAAAGAATGCACATGCTTTTACTCAGACACCAACAATCACATTTTAACCACCCAGTTGTTGAAAATTCGGTGAAAGCTAAGAGGAAGTTTAACGTTTTCTCCTACACAAACCCAGTCAGTTTGTCTACGGCAGAATTACTTTACTGCAGTACTCAGGCATGCACAAATGGAATGCACTGTTTTTCTAACTGCAAATTTCTGAACCAGTGGAAAAAACTCCATCTTTATTCAAGGCACTAACTACACTACATTTTAACACTGCAATCACAGGCAGTGTATGAGATCTTATTTGTGACTAATGAACTCAATTTGGTTGTTTTAAGGGAAACAAATGAAATTTCAAATATGTTAAATAAACATAGTTTAACCACTTAGAACACATCAGTAAGTTTCTTAAAATGACTCTCCATTTCCCTCAATTTTGATTACCTGAACTATAGTTAATCTGTACCTGTAACAAGTCTAACGCCTAGGAGAGACCATTTCTAAGTATGCAGAGCTACAGACTTAAAAAAAAAAAAAAAAAAAACACAAGTTAAATGGAAGATTTTAATTCTCTAAACTCATCACAAAGAAGACTGAAAGGGACTGTATTTCTTGTACTAACAATGGTGCTGAAGAAGACGGAAAACTGTCAACTGTCTTCTCAACATTTCATCACTTTCAGAGGATCTGGCTGAGCAGGAAGTCCTAAAGCAATGTGAGCTCTGACTGCACAGAACCGTTTCCACTGGGGTGGAACTTTCACAAGACATGCATTGTGGACCCAATGGCAACCCCTTACCTACCATGCCCAAGGATGAATGCTCCTAACACAGCACCTGGCACATAAGTGAGCTTCATCAGCCCACGGAAAGAATGAATGAATGAATGAATGAATGAATGAGAGAATGGTCGCAGAAAACAGACCAAAAACATCCTGCTATGCCGGGATTGCTTCCTGGTGATACCCCTGCATAAACCGACTCTGGATCTCTTGGCCTCTGTGGAACCGTCCAGGCCCACAGCTCCAGCTGTTTTTTTTTCTGCCCTTACTGCCTCAAGCCCCACCCCAGCAGGCCCCAGCTCTGGGGTCTAGTCCTCAACCCAGTTCCATGAGGGAAATCCACCTGTTAAAGGCAAGGGGCAAAAATCCAGGTAACTGTGGAAGGGGTGGGAGGGGCAGGCACCTCTTCCTGAGGTTTGAGCCAATTACAACGAGATGAGTCAACACTGATATGGAGCTTCCTGCTCTGCTGAAGAGAAAATACTCTCTGACAAAAAAGTAAAACGTTAAATTACTAGGCAAGTATCTTCCTAAGTGTGTTTAACCAATATTATAGAAGAAAGTGTGGTTAAAATAATTTCAGAAATACTGAATTGGTCAAATAAAGTTTCCTATACTGTGGGGCTTCTCAGAGCCTTGAACTGGGCTAATACTGTGAATCCCCCAGAACTTCCCCAAACTGTCTGATGGGCTAAAAGTTAAAAAATAAAAAATAAAAATAAAAAAATCCTCTTTCTCCTAATATGCAAAATTGTATCTAGAGATCAATTTAAGCAATTGCGGCAGATACACAGAAATGCTTCAATACCCAGAACTGATATTGGAAAAGTAGAAACAGACTTTTAACAATTGCAAATTTAAAATGCCACTGAATGCTCCAAAAATACCTGACTCAATCGAGTACAGCACTTCGGCATTTTTCCCTTTGTCCTTGTCCAGCGCCGTCACCTGCAACACAACCGAGCCGACGGCCGCCGATTCATACACCCGCCCTTTGTAGGAGGAAGCGGTGAACCACGGGGCATGGTCATTCGTGTCGCTGACGTTGACCACAATCCTTGCAAAGTTGCGTTTTACAGGCACATCTTGATCTCGTACCTAAAGGAATCGACACATTATCAATCCCATTGGTGTTTTTCTTATAACTAATTGGAAATCACAGTTAATCCCACAAAGGCCTCAGGACCAATGGTGAGAGGAGAGAGGCAGAGCGCCTACCATGACCGTGAGGGTGTGCTGGTGAACGGCTTCATGATCGAGCTTCTCAGAAGTATAGAGAGAGCCGGTTGCAGGATCAAGACGGAATTTCTTGAGACTCAGTGGATCTCTACTGCCCTGCAGAGTGTAGATTAGTCTGTTTTTCTCATCCTGATCCACAGCACTGATGTGCAAAATTTCTGTCTCTGGCACCGTATCTTCAGGAATAACAACTTCATACTTCGATGTAGAAAACTGAGGACGATGGTCATTTGTGTCTATTACTTTGATGAATACCTGTAATGGATGACAAAATGGCTCGTACAATAATATGTGCAATTACGATGTTTTAATACTTAAAGAACCATGAACAAAAGTCAAGCACATTGAAAGAATGACACTGTGGCAAAATAAAATACAAATAGGAGAAAGGCAACAAAAACCTACAATCATACATGTCTTATAACATTTCTCACTGGTATATTACTTATCTAAATATGAGTCAGATAATGATGACCTTTCTGAATTCTTATAACTAACTCTGAAGACAAAATGTGTATACTTTTCACACTTGCCACGTCTTTATGTGGCTTAACTTCTCTTATGCCTCCACACAGAAGGTATCTGTAGATCACTCATGTACAGATAACAATTTACTTTACCAGGATTTATAGAAGACTAATTTCTTATATCAGATTGGAATCTGCAACTACCAATCTACTGAGGTGAGTAAGATAGATGATTACACTATCTAAATTTCTCATTCTCATTTTTGACATCCCAAGCCCCAGATCATAGGTTTTTTTAATATGTAAAAAGAAAAAATAAGAAATGTGTTTAGAAATCACCGTATTTCTGTAATCATAAACCTACATGTATGTAGTAAATATGTTTACTCCCTAAAAGCAATTTAGTTAATAGACTGAAAAAATAAACTCTCTTAATTGTGTCCACATAAAGTAAAAACCTTTGGAGGAAAAAAAGCAAATGTTAAGAAACTTGGTACTAAGCTAAATTAGAAACAAACAAAACTTTGACAGTAAGAGGATTAATTTTCATGATGAAAAAACCTATGGATTTGGCACAGTGGAAATCACTGCCAATTACAAAACATGGTTCAGAGCTTATGAAGAAGAAAACTGCGCCTCGTGGGGCACACGGAACAAAGGGATCCGCTGTCCGAGCAGCACAGGAGTGCGCTTCGTGGGGCACACGGAACAAAGGGATCCGCTGTCCGAGCAGCACAGGAGTGCGCTTCGTGGGGCACACGGAACAAAGGGATCCGCTGTCCGAGCAGCACAGGAGTGCGCTTCGTGGGGCACACGGAACAAAGGGATCCGCTGTCCGAGCAGCACAGGAGTGCGCTTCGTGGGGCACACGGAACAAAGGGATCTGCTGTCCGAGCAGCACAGGAGTGCGCTTCGTGGGGCACACGGAACAAAGGGATCCGCTGTCCGAGCAGCACAGGAGTGCGCTTCGTGGGGCACACGGAACAAAGGGATCCGCTGTCCCAGCAGCACAGGAGTGCGCTTCGTGGGGGCACACGGAACAAAGGGATCTGCTGTCCCAGCAGCACAGGAGCCAGAGACCCAGGCAGAGCTGTTAACCGCATGGAGAAGGCCGTGAACAGAGGCCTTCCGTGAGGGCTACATCAGTGTTCTCATAGAAGACCAAAACATCAAGGATGTTTTAGTTAAAAAAAACATACCATGACATTTTGTATGAATTCTAAATGCATCCACCAAACCATGGAAAGGTTTCATGTGAAAGCTATGTAAACCTTTAAAACTACAGACGCCTCACTTTTACAGGTCAATGATGATCCAGAAGGGATGACTATAAAGGCAATTACCACAAATTAGATTATATATTAATGTCCACTATACATTTAAAAATTACTTTTCCCATGTATTGGGTACTGGGCAGAGAAGTTTAATCCTGCTCCAAGCTCAACTATTATTAAGTAGAAGGAACTGAAAGTAAAAGCAAAATTCAATTGAAACACACTGATCGTGCATTTCCATGCCCAATGCTTGCCTACATAACACAGTGGGTGTGAAATTAGCATGCAATAATCCCTGCCCTCACAGAGCCACCAGGCTCACCAGGCAATGTTCTGCACGTGCACAGCCTAACCATGTCTCATATACTATCAAGTAAGTTTTTAAGAGTCCGGAGACTGGCTGAGATGTTCAGAAAGCTCTTAAGAGGGAGACAATGATTTCTTGGATGTATTTTTGGTTGGCAGGTGAGTAAGTATGAGGAAGGGCTGCCTCAAAGACATGAGGGCAAGCAGTGGGATGGAGCATCCTGCCTTTTAGAGGTTGGAGAGGACCTGGAACTCAGGGATGATCTAGTAAAGGAGCAAGAAGAAGGCAGAATCAAATATGCAGAGCCTCGACTCCAGAACTGATGTGGGAGGATTACACAGCTCCTTTTGGTCAGAAGAAACTCACTTCCAAGATGAGCGGCAGGGATGAAGAATGGCACTGGAAGGTGAACTGAGTGTCGGTGGGACAAGAGCCCAAACCCGAGCTGATGTGCAACAAAACTATGGTTTTCTGAGTGCTTACTGGGTGACAGGCTCTCGGGGAGTGAAGAACAAGCGCCCTGCGGGTCATCTCATCAACCTTCCTAACACCTCCAAGAGGATGATTACCACCACCCCCACTTTCCAGGTGAGAACATGGACACACAGAGAGTTACAGCTATTTGCCTCTGGAAAGGAATACAAGAGGTGGAGCCGGGATTCCGACCAAGCGAGCTGCTCCAGAGGCCACGATGCTGATGCTCGAGAGAAAGTGAAAGAAGATATGAAAGCAAAGCTGTTTGAAAGAAAGAAAACAAAAGGTAACTAGATTTGGTAAGTTACCTGGAGATACAAGAGAAAGCCAAGTGACTGGAATCAATAGCGGTCAGCATCCTAAGCCGCACACGCAGGACAGGCAAGCCGGGAGAAGAGCTGTTTCCGCAGGGCACTGGCAATTCTCCCACCGTCCTGCCGCCTACCTCTGCTGGAGGCTGCCTGCTTGACCCACCAACGCTCACCTAAACCTTCTCAAATCGGCATCTGCTGCCCCTGACCTGGAGACACAATGGCTGCTCTGTTGATTTTTGAGTGTTACTTCCAAGCGCCAATCCATCCCCACGGTATCCTAGCGTCTCACCGCCCAGCTAATTCCTCTGCTCTTCAATCCATCCCCGCTGTATCCTGGTGCCTCTCACTGCCCAGCTGAGTCCTGTGCTCTTCTCCAGGTGGCAGCTGCTGCCCCGCTCCACCTGCTCCCGCCCAAATTCGTATTTCCAGGTTCTCAGCTGAAGAGGAAAAATAATCTAAACACAAATCATTCCCTTTGTCCCACACCTTAACAGGTCAACCTGGGCTCACCGTTCTCCTACAGTCTGACTGCCTTTCCCTGTCAGCAATTAGGATAGCATCTAGAGCCTATGACAATGGCCCAAAATAAGTTACAGAAGTATCTTTATACTTCTGAAACAATGAAATTTAAGATATTCTGTGTTCCCAAGGAAGAAAACTAGACTCTCTTTCCTGGGTTTTACAGGAATTTTAGTCGATACACATCATATTTCATGCTAAACTTTTCACTGCACTAATTAAAAATACAATTATTGGGAAAGAGTTGCACTGTTAATTATTCATAGAGGTGTTGCCTTTAGTAATGAGAATGCTTGGCAAAGACGGCCATCGCCACTGTTTATGAAGCTCCTTTTGTTAGATTTCTGGGTAGTCGATTCTGTGAACTGGTCTACAGTTATGCCCCTTAAATCCTTCTCTCAGAATTATCCTGTTAGATTTATTATAATTTATGATGTTTTTATTCTCATTTTTGTGCTCTAAAATTTTACAAGGGCTTATGTTTAAAGAGAGAAAATCAATAGATTTTGCTTGTTTCTAGAATGAGAACAGCTACCAACTAAATTGAAATTTTCACACCATACTAGAACTTTTACAAGACAATCTCAAAATGACCCCAAAAGCATACATCATACATATATCAATTTTATATACACTAAAAATCACAAGCATTTAGAGAAATATTTTTGTAAATGGCTTTAAATTATCTACCCATTTATTAATCGAAAAGACAGCACAGACGATAATTTTTATCTTTTAATGCAGCTCAATGACTTAGCAGATGATCTGGCTCGCTTAGGATTTAAAACAGTATAATCTAATGCTAGAAAACTGAAACTCAGAAGCATCTTGTTCTCTGACATTTAACTTCTTTCTTTTTCATTTAGGCCACAGTAGGTTATAAATACACCTTTAGCTTCTACCAGCCTCGTGAAAGCTCCAAGAAGGCAAGATTGCTGCCTGTTTTGTTTCCTGCTATTCACCTTCCAGAATGGTACCTGGCATGTGACAAGTATTCAACAAATACTTGTTAAAGAAATGAGTGAATGACACTCTGCTCGCTCCTGAAACCTCACGATGATTCTTCTCTCTAGGAATATTCCTTCTGTACACTTCAAATGGCCCACACTGAGAACCAAAGAAAAGTAGTAAGAAAGAAGATAATTTAAATTTAACTTACAGGATTTTAACACGTAAGTGTGAAATCCCCATAATCTGGCCATCTCAATTATCAGATAGGAGCAAATAAAGGTGTTAAAGGAATGATGAGAACAATTTTATTAGTTATTTTACATAGCCAGGAGGAATCCAAAAAAAGTGATTTAGAAGATGAATCACTCTATCCAGTTTTACTGAAATTGATTTAAACAATTCATTCTCAATAGTGATGTACTTTACGTTAATATAGTTTAAAATGAGCATAAAATTCGCAGATTTTGATGGCATAACGTTGGTCTGGTTTTGTTTTTGAAGTCTTCCCTCAAAATTATCAAAACTGCTTAATTATATGCAAAACCTAAATTGGGATATGGAATTTTCTTTCCCTAAATAAAAATTCTTAGTGTGCATGTCTGTAAACTTTACCAACACACAAACTCTTCTGATTTTAGACCCTCACAGGGCAGAATCCACCGCTCATACTTCCTGTGGACCCCTCCAAGTCAGAATGTTGTCTCCATCCTCCTCTGACAGCCGCATCACTAGTAATTCACTTACCTGAGTGAGGATAGTGGTGGTTCCATCTGTGGCCTCGACTGTGAGGTTGTAGTTTGACTTCTGTTCTGCATCGAGAGGTTTGGCAACAATGATGGTTCCAGTTCCCTTGTCCACATCGAAGTGACTGTCGTAGTTGCCACCTAGTTTAAATTGGGACAAAAAAAGTAAAAACAGTCACAGGATAACACTCTGTAGTTTATTTTGTGGCTTTCTAATACTTAACGGCACTGAAAAAAGCTTCTAATGTACTAGCAAAGAGTTTCCAAGGAGGAGCATTTTGAAAGACAAGAGTGGCCAATTAGAAAGACAATGCTTGTTATGGCAAAGTGAACCCTAATTGTCCAGGAAGCAACTAACTGAAAAAAAGCAAGAAAGCAACTCTGAAAACAAAGACATTGCTAATACTGCCAGTGAGTTACTTTCAATTTGCTTTTTCAGGGGTTCTGAATTTCTCTTCAATCTGTATCTTAGTAGTTATACAAACCATCACTGGGCCATTTAAAAGTTTACTTACTAAGAAAACTTTCTGATACTTTGAGCAAATTGGCCTAATAAAATAGCTATTAAAAATAAATGTTAACTCTAAAAAAAAAATAGTGGTAGTTAACTTCAATTAGTCCTGGCTACTATAAACTATTTGAAAATATTTTTTTTCTCATTTTTGACAAACACAAAGCCTAATGAAATAACAGTTTCTATCCTACTAATATTATCCAAATATTTTTGATAAAACTCTCTTTTCAAATCCATTGACCTAGATATAAAATGAAATGGAATGAAAGAAAATAGAGGCTTAATGTCATGATGAAATTCTACTACTAAATCTAACCAAGAAACAAAACAACACACACGACGTCTTAAGAGAAACCGAAAACCACAGGGCAAGGTGAGCATTACGTGTCAACACGCCGGCGAATGGGATGGGTGACCATGCGCACACTATGGAAAAAAAAAAAAAAAAAAAAAAAAACAGCAATGGAAGATAGTCATTGGAAATAAAAAAGTTAAAAAAAAAACAAGGCTTTTATTTTAGATCTCATAATCTGAGGCAAATTATGTGATCTCAGCAGATACCTTCTGCTGTACAGTTCGGGTCACAAGTCATCTGAAAGATGTAAAAAACTTCTCTAGCAAGCGTGTCTCCTGGCACAGCCAAAAAGAAGCAAGCACGCATGGAAAGCAAGCACAGAATAAGAGCAATCAATCAAACCAGGTCCAAGCACAGCAAGGTTACACAGCGAGGTCAGGTACTGCACAGCAGCAGCCTGTCGATCTGGAAATGTGATAAAAGTTAACAGAAAGCAAACAAACGATTTTGAGTATCGTTAACTATGAAAACAGTCTCTTTTTCCCCTTCCCTTAAAAGTATGCCATAAGAGTTTCATAGGTGTTGATGACATGGATTTCATACAATCACCAAACTGGTAAAAGAGCCCAACCATTTAGCATGAAAGTTCCAAAGGTAAGGCCTGGCCCGACACGCCCAGGGGTCTGGGTCCATCAGCCGCAACTTTGGGGGCTTGGGGGTAACATGACTAAGGGGTAGAAGAGGAAAAACGGACATAAAGTCTCCCCTAGAGAAATGAATCGCAACAGATACACTTGTTCTTAAATACCCTTGTAACTAAAATGTGAGGAAACAAACAAACAAAAAATCTAAGATGCCAAAGTCTAATGTGAAATTTAAAAAATATGTTGACTAGGGTATTACATTCAATGTCTTACCTAAACTACATGACAAATAAGAAGAAATGGCTTTAGCAAGTAAACTTTACTGGAGGACGAAATAATCTAATGAATCCTCATTCCTGTTGAAAATGAGGTAAATAAAACTAAAAACCCATAGCTGGTACCATAACTTTAAAGGTACACGAATCAAAATTTGTAAGCTTATTCCCTCTTAAATATTGACATGTGACAGTCACACAGGCATAGTTACTTTAAATGTTCCAATCATATTCACTAAAAATAACAATGTTTTTAGTGGTTATGTTATCAATAATTAAACATTAAGAAGTTGTGCTTTTGGACCAAAACATTCAGGGCTTTTGTCTGTAACTCTTTGATGAACTTTAAAAAATTTTTACTTTTAAATTAATAACTTGGTAGAATAGAGGACCTATTTTAAACAAGTTTAATATATGCTATATATTGTGAAAAATTTTGCAATCAAAATATTATGGTTTAAAGCAAATTCTCCACCTGTCAATCGTATTCCCAATTTTAAATCCTGACACGTGCCCAAAACTCATCAAACCGTATGCAGATTCTCCTCAGTGTAACCCGTAAGGACAACGAAAACGAGGAGGAATGCTTACCCGTGATGTCAAACCAAAGAGGTATGCCAGGAGGCTCAACAGATATTACTCCAATCATGTGAGCAACGGGGTCACTTTCCATCACAGTAAAGGTAAAAAATGATTCTTCAAATGAAATGGGCTCCGGGGACGGTTTGGGTTTGGAGATCCATTCAATGTGGAGTCTGGTGGTCGATGACTTTTGAGGGCGACCATTGTCAACTGCCTTAATCTGTAACATTTGGGCAGAAGGGATTAAAAACAGCAAATCAGAAGTTACCACCCAGAAATGAATGGAGCACAGACTGGTTTGGTCTTAAACTGAGCCAATTTCAAACATTTAACATTTGTATACTGTGTGCTGAATGCTTGATGAAAGAACAATGATTTCATGACCACATGCAACAGAAACAATGAGCACCCTGAGTGACAGATGAAAAGGAAAAACAAACCCATGCTTCTCCAACATCATCCGGCACTGCCTAATGGGGCCATTAGGTCACAAACACTTCAGCCATTTACAAAACAGAAATAAAGTTACTAAAGAAGAAATGCAAAATAAGGTTTATAGTCACAACATATAAAAAATTACACTACTACAATCTTAACTCACGGAAAGAATATCATATTCTCCAGCTGCTGAAAACTTCTTGGACGAAACCACCCCAGTTTTCGGTTCAATGAAGAATTTGCCGTGCTCATTCCCTTCTTCGATGCTGTAGGAGATTTCTGCATTGGGGCCTTCATCTTTGTCGGTGGCTATAACGCGATACAGGGGCTCCCGTCTGGCATTTCTTTCTCGGTCTGGCTTTTCCCGCTCAGGGAGTCTGATTTTGTAGAACTTTTGCAGAAACTGAGGTTTGTTGTCATTTTCATCAAGGATTTTCACAATGACTCTTGCAATGGTTGATTTGGGGGGACTACCATTGTCTGTCACAGTAACCTGTTATTTTAAAGTTAACAGATAAACATGTTAAGATACACTATATAAAAAGGATCTTCTTCCTAATGCTACTCCGCATGTGTGTAAAGCTCTACCTTTTGCAGGGCACGAGGACTCAGACACAGCAGCTCCTCATTCCAACAACAGCGCTGGAAGGAGGTGAGGCAGCACCTCCTATCTCTACAGGGAGAGAGTCACGGGCGCAGACAGGGCTAAGAACGAAACAGCCGCACCCCTGCACGCCTTCCTGACCATGCCGGCTCTCTTCTCACACTAGGGTAACTTGGAAAGTGAACCTCACGCAAACGTTAAGCTACCAAAAACTTAATACCTTTAGGCCGTGAAAGAGATACGTGAAGATTCGGCTTTACACATTTAAAGAGTCTTCTTAAAAACAATACACTCTACATACTTAAAAATAAAATTTCCAAATATCACGTAAAAAATGTTAAACTTCATCAATAAAATATACTAAATTGTCCATTTAAAAGTATGTGTTAAATAAATAGCACACCTTTTAATACTAGTAATCACCATTTTATTTTGGCTATTTTCCTCTACGGATGTTTTATAGGAGTGGACCTAAACATTTAAATTTAAGACCAACTCATTAAATAGATTTTCAGTAAAATGATGATAACTTTCATTTTAAGTAAACTATCCATACATTCTTATATTCTATTTCGGAAAAAATATCAGAGAGTCTTGAGGACTGCACTGATGACTGTTTCCATATCCATAAGAGACCATTTCACCCTTAAATCAAATGTTCACGTTTATGTCAATGGGTACATTAAAAGTAATGATATTAGTAATGCTTATTCTCCCCTCATCCACACCCCACCTTCTTCCAAATGAATTACCAAAACACTAAAAACAGCCAAGTAGACTGAAGTCTGGCAGTTGTAAATCCTGATTATTAAAGTGTGACTATACCCTGATGGTGCTTGTCAAAAATATTTAAGTAGTTGCTTTACTTTCTATTATTTACCTTCCTAAGCTTTTTCAAAACAAAAGTATTGCTACTCTAATTTTAAACTCTCGAAACACTTCCTTTTCATCAGTTGGCATATGAGCTTTAGAAAAACAAGAAAGAGAAATACAAGCAAGCACTATGTTTTTTAGTATTCATCACCAAATTGTTCCTAACTTTGGGTTCAAGAACCAGTAGCTAGTCACAGCTTTCAACACGTAATGCAGACACACTATCTGTAAGACAGCCAAATCAATGCCAGCACTGGCTCTCAAATACACCACACCAAAAGGACCCTACTGAAAAACACACAAATTATGTATGCTGAAGGGGAAATTTATTTCCCATCAATGTCCAAAAATTACTTTCAAAGTGCTATACATCTGGTATCTGCTTCCACCTAGCCTTTGATACTCACTGAGAAAAGAGGGCTCTGGAGTGAGGTATGCAATTAATGTGAAATTTGCAAGGACTGGAGCAAAATGTCAATGTAACTACTGCTCTCCTATCTTCCCATCTGTTTATTTTTGTCAGCCACCGCACTCGCCCCTTCTGTCAATCCTTGTAGTGAGAGAATGAAAATTCAAAACTGCTCTGTCGTAAAGAAAATGAATTCAAGGGACCTTGACACTCTAAGAACTAAAAACTCAAGATGTAGTAGATGAAGCAGTTCCTAACGGGGAAAGCACCGTGGCCGTGAAACCACCTTTCCCAGAGGAGATTCCCAATTCCCATGCACACACATGTGTACGCATGCACGCACACAGACACACACTGCACAACTACAAAAAACTAAGTATTTACTGACAACGTTAAGAAAACTTGACCAAGGATAAAATGAAATTAAGCAGGCATTATAAACAGCAATATTAAAAGAAATTTTCAGAAGTTACAGTTTAGAATTTTGTCACTTATACTGTTAAGAGTGGAAGAAGAGCGCTGATAACTCTATTAAACAAAGGCAGGTGGCCTTTTCCAAGCCTGACTCTGACAGTGAACACCAGCCTTCCACACGGGACACAGGGATCTCTCTACGGGGCCTCTCCGCGCTCTGCCTGTCTCTTAGCCGCTTCCTGATGACACGGACCCGCGATCTCATCAACCTGACGTCCATGTTACGCTCCCCCTTCCCTCTCCAAGTTACTCGTGGTCTTTTTCTGCAATGGATTTACTATTAGCCAAAAACCAGGTGACCAATAAATGATAAGCAGCTGTGGGTTTTCTAAGGCCTAAAAGGCATTGTAAAGTAGCCATGAGAATGGCTTATTAGAACTTTCTAGAAGAGCACATCTGAGACTTCCATCTACTTTTACTTTTGAGGCATTTAAGAAGCACCAACTAAGTAATTCACAGTTTAAAATGCAAAAATAATGCAATTGTTTAAGAACAAAAAAATGAATCTGGAAACAAATTACCTCTAGTTAAAAAGGTTGAAATAGATCTATAAACACCAACATAAATATATCTCAAAACATAATAGTAAGGGGGAAAAAAAGATGTATACAGAAAAATATCACTTAGGTAAATGCAAATGAATGCCACGTGACACTGTTTACTGTTCTGTTTGCCCCGTGTGTCTGCGTGAGCATAAAACACAAAGATCGGAATGGGGTCCATGACAGTGGCCATGCATTCTGGGAATGTCATTGACGGATAAAAGGCACAAGAGCTACATTCATTAACAATTTCCTTATATTCCTTTTTCCTAATAACCAGTAAATAATATTAATACAACAAAATATTAATAGCTAAGAATACTGGTTTATGGGAACAAGACTGTTCTTTCATGATACTTATAACTATGAATCTTTAAGTATTAAAGATTAAAAAAAATACCTCTAATATGTGTTCATCTTGCTGTTCTCGGTCTAGCTTCCTTGATGTAGTTGTGATGAGACCTGTAAAATGGTAACAGTTCATTAATCCTCACAAAATAAGGTCAATTACAAAATATTGCAATTAAAATCACACTCTTGGCCAGGCACAGGGAGCTCACGCCTGTAATCCCAGCACTCTGGGAGGCCCAGGCGGGTGGATCACTTGAGGTCAGGAGTTGGAGGCCAGTCTGGCCAACATGGTGAAACCCTGTCTCTACAAAAAATACAAAAATTAATCAGGCGAGGTGACGCGTGACTGTAATCCCAGCTACTTGGGAGACTGAGGCAGGAACTGCTTGAACCTGGGAGGTGCAGGTTGCTGTGAGCAGAGATCACACCAGTGCACTCCAGCCTGGGCAACACAGTGAGACTCCGTCTCAAAAATAAAATATAAAACAAAACCAAACTCTTTTAAAAGTCTAAGCGAATTTCTTCTCAAGAAAAAAAGAAGAAAGAAATTTCTTACTAAAGAAATTTAATTTCCAGGTATGGTTAGTTATTTTGTCTACAAACAATAGCATACTTTATACTTTCTTACTTTAATGACTCATAAACATATTGGATAAATGACAAATAGTAAGAAAGCAGAAAAACTCAAATCAGTTACATTTTCTGTTTGTTAGTGGTTTCAATACACATTTTGTCAGAAAAGATTTTTTAAAAGTGAGATGAAGTTATACAGGATTTCAATCTCATCCATCTCCTTTAACTGCTCAAGAGATAACTGAGAGTTGACAGAAATAACTTCTACAACTGTATTAAAAAGGGCTATTGAAAATAAAATGTTAACTCTAATTTATTATCTTTGAATTATCCACTCTCATAAATAAAGAACTGTTATAAAAAGCAATGTAATTTTCTGGGTAATCTTGCTCATTTAATTTCTCATACAAGAAAATTAATGATTCTCAAATTCCATATTCTAGAAAAAAAAATTTCCTATCAAACTAGGATATCTGTATGAGTTTTGAACTCTCTTGAGAACTTTAATAACTGCTCAACTGTCAGCATATGTTGGAACTAGAAGGTAATTACAATTTATAAAATGTATTCTTGTGCTTCACCAAAACCACAAACAAAATTCCCCTAACCACTAAAATGTCATCCCCAATCTGTGTTGATGGTGACAGGTGCACCCAGCATGATCTGCACCTCTGACCTTAAAATCAGGTGGAGCCTGTGTGGCAGGACAATTACCAGGGCTAAACGCTCTCCTGCCAGCGTTGTTTTTTTTTTTTTTTTTTCTCCATAGGGAAATACTTCAAATAATTCACATTTAGGAATAGACTTTATTAATCTAATTTATTTTCTCCCATAATCTTAACTAATTTCACTGAACTATCAATTAAGGGATATTCAAAATGTTTCTCTGCAGTTGTAAGTGAAAGCTTTGTGTTTTCATTTAATTCAAAGGTTTCTTTTTTCCTTAAGTAGTTACTAAGAATCTAAATCAACACTATTTTCCTCACAATTCGACACAGTGTTCTCTTTTTAACAAGGACAACAGAAGACTATATCATACCTCCACACTGGGGTTTTCCCAGACCACACGTATAGATTAAAAGGGGCTAAAGGGAAATGCTTCACACTGCTTAAGGGTGTAAAAATGACACTTAAATGTGGCACAAGCTTAATTTTCATTAGTCAAAAACCTTTTAAGTTAAATCTTTTTTCCCCTACCAAAAATGTACCACCCTCTCCTAACTGTGGTTGTAAATAGTTCAGGAACGACAAGAAGCCATTTGATTAGTCCCACATCTAATTATTGTAATGTGTCCACCAGGAAGTCGTGATCGATGGTAACATCACGTGGAAGAGCAGCTTGACACATTCACAGGAAAACAGTATTCTTCTGGAGGGCACTTAATCACTCACCAGACAGCACTGTGCAAATACTTGTGAGCAAATACAATTCCTCACTCTACGATTTACTTACAGCACATAAGAAGGCTAACGAAAGCTGTACCTGTGTCCCTACTACCAATTCCACGTCAAAAGCCTGGGCGTGCTGGCTCACACCTGCAATCCCAGCACTTTGGGAGGCTGAGGCGGGCGGATCACCTGAGCTAAGAAGTTCGAGACCAGCCTGGCCAACATGGCAAAACCCTGTCTCTACTAAAAATACAAAAAACTAGCCAGCATGGTGGCATGCACCTGTAATCCCAGCTACTCAGGAGGCTGAGGCAGAAAAATTGCTTGAACCAGGGAGGAGGAGGCCGCAGTGAGCTGAGATTGTACCACTGCACTCAGCTTGGGTGACAGAGCAAGCCTCTGTCTAAAAAAAAAAAAAAAATCCACAAAAAGTCAAAAGGCTACCTGACCACCTCCTTCCTGGGTCTGAAATTATCTGCATGTTCTATAGGCCTCAAATTAATTCTCCTCTGTTAACTCAGATGGACCATTAATCCCATCCCAATGCAATGAATGGTAATGCCCCTTTCTTTCCATTTCAGTCTGACTACCCCGAGTCACTGTCTCACCCCTCCGTTTACACTGAAGTGGGTTTAAACTCACTGCGGGGACTCGCGTGGGTTCCTGCTGCTGGATTCTCCAAGTCCTAATATTTCTTCTATCATAATATTACTCCACAGTATTAAAGCCCCTCATTTAAAAATAAGTCTCTTTTCTATACTGGAAAACCCATGAGGACACAGACTGTCTTTCTTGCATAGCTTGCTCACGCAGCTCTCTCTCTCTCTTACCCTCAAGAAACACTTAAATGTGTGAACATGTGAATTTCTTAAAACCATGAAATAGCAGAATTAAAAATATGATCTAGAGTGAGAGAGATACATAAACTCCTGTAAACCTGAAAATGATATAAGTGAGCCAACAGAGAACCCTTTAGTACATACTTATAGGCAGGGTGTGTACCAGGTGCTGCGATGGGTCGTCAGGTGCCGGCAGCAGCACGCTGCAGGTATTAAGAAGCACAGATCTGAAGTGCAGGGAAGAAGTTGTGGGCACACAGACAGGTGTGCTTCAGACCACAAGCACAGAAGTGAGTATGAAAACTAAAGAGAACAGTGGACCTATAAAAAAGGTAAAGAAAATAGCAGGCTGATTTTCAGCCTAGGAAGCAATCTGCTGGAAGAGAAGCTTGGTTTCCCAGAAGCCAAAAGCAAGGGATTTTAAGGAGGACGTACTTCAGAGAAGCCTGGAAGGAAAGAGAAAGTGAGGCAGGAAGCAGACCTGGAGAAGTATTTCTTTTACGAAGAGGAGATTGTCTCACATGTAACCGTAAACGACAAAAGAGAAGACGAAGATCTAGACCCCCGCTAACAACTACAGTCGCCACCCGAGGCCAGTGAAATTTAAATTAATTAAAATTCAGTAAAGTTTATGCTTCAGTTTCTCAATCACACTAAGCCAAATTTCCAGGGTGCCGCAGCCCCTGTGGGCCAGTGACGACAGCATGGAGCAAGGCAGACGCAGATGTGCTCCCCACGCAGGAAGCTGCTGGACAGCACCGGTCTACACACGAGACACAATTCACAAATCAAGGTCCTGCAAGAAACCCTGGAAGTTGCATTTACTTCTCTGTGAAGAACACATAAGATATTTCAGACTGACAAAACAAATAACAACAAAAAAACCTTTCTGAATTCACAACACTCTTAGCAAAAAGAATCTTAGCAAGGCTGCCATAGAGCTTTTCCCTAATGCCATCTCCAGAGAGAGGCCGTGCACGAGTGTCCTATGGGGGCGGCACTAGGTGGTGCACCCCTCTGCAAAAAAATTAGGGTAAAATTAAGGCTTCTTGTGGGATTTTCATACAGAATGAAAACAGAATTTCCTAATGAAGCAATGAAATACTAGGCGTTCTGGGTGTCTTTTAGAGGTGTACTTTATCTTACAGCAATCTGCACACTGTGTGCCTGACCCCCGGGAATGCTACCCGAACCCCCTGCACGCTGGCCATGCGAAACAATCTATCGAACGCGTTCTGTGTTCACGCCCACTCATGCCTCTGTGAGCATCACTCCAGCTCATCACCCCCCGACCCCTGCCCACCTGAAACATCTACTTCAAACATACTTCCAAAGTACAACTGCTCCATGTACCCACTACCTGTTAGTAGCCTAGTAGGTAGGAAGTGTCCTCGTAAGTATATCCACTTCTTTCATTTTCGACATCTGTGCTCATCTGCAATATTTTTGCCAAATTCCAGAAAGATATATACTTAAAGGAAACTGTACAGAACTTTAGAACTAAAGAGAAACCTTTAAGATTATCAAGTTCAGTTGCCTGAACCAAAGGGAAGTTAAAATTTTCCAAGTCCACTAGTAAGTCATTAACAAAACCAGGAGCAGGATTTCGTTCTCTTGAGGCTCAGATGAGCGTTTTTTTTCTCCCTATTTTTCACACCTAACTGTGTAATCGGCTGCGTTATAGTATTCCAACTCTCCATGAACTCTGAACTGTGACTTTCATAACTGTAAGGAAAAAACAGGAATGATTCATCATCAGTCATTTAATAGGTCCACAAAAGCAAGTTAGGAGATAAAAGAGGAGGCAAAAGCAGAAAAACATATACGCAATTGTTTTCTTTTTGTAACTTTGTGTTTTATCTTCCTCTTCTGCCAAGCACTGATAATTAAAAATAGAAAGGAAGAAAAACGAGAAATTTTTTTTCCTTGGTCCAGAAAAACGCTTTCTATATAACAAAACCACAATAAATGTAGGTGGGCTGAGACAGCAGACACAGTATATTCTCACCAATGAGCAGTTACCAGGTCACCCCATAAATGTATGCACAACGCAGGAACCAAACTTTATGGCACTTGATGAACGTCATTAAAAACCACTCATGGCCTTTCAATGCTACTTTAGACATTTAGAGATGAGTTCATTTAGAACAGAAAGAATGTCAGATCAGCTATAATGTTTCAATTATAAATCAATAGCAAAACCATCTCCAAACTTCTCAAAATTCAAGAGATAAAATAGACTTTGCAAAGTAGATAGATGTAAAAGTGAACATCAAAGGACTAGCAGGTGAAGACAGTCCTGTGACATGG